GCAAAGCACAAACGGTTAAAGTTATTGGAACAAGGAGACACTGATGTATTTTAAAATACATTCAGGTCACAGTTAAAGGCACATGTTGGAGGCACGTGACTGCTTGAGGTTTATGACATCTTTCGGAGAATTAAGATTCTCCTGCGGCCAGGCACCTTTGAAAGCTGCACAGCAAGCAGAAATTCAACAGGTAATGCTTTCCCATGGCAGCAATATGGATACCTGGAATTTTTGCCTGTTAGGTGCATTTCAAGAGCAGGGGAAATCCCAAGGGGGATGTGGGATCCTCAAACAACACCCGATGAGGCAAAACCTCTAAAAATTGCCCAGAAGGTACTGGGATGCTTTTCATGAACAGTGGCCAACAACGTGCAATGAAATCCCCCTCCGTGGCGTGACCCCTGCACTTGCCATTGTGCATTAAATGTTAGTGTAAAAGTGGGGAATGTACAGAGAGGTTCACAAAAGCAGCAGCAGCAGCAATTACAGGATGTTTTGTGAAAAGCGCAATGCCTGCGAAAAGATGGGAGAGGTTCGAAAGCGCACGTGGTTGAAAGGAGACGCTTGACAAAGCCGGCCTGGAAGAACAAATGCCCCCTTTGGGCCCACTGCTAAAGCCCCATCTCCCCCCTTCTCCTGCAGAGGCACCATTTTCTAAAGGGAGGGTGAGTTAATCAGTATTGTACCCATTATACAGAAGAGCAACATTAAGGCACAACATGAAAATATTAGCATCCAATGTTTATCCAAGCCTGCCCAGTTTTTTCTTCAGTCTCTGTTCTGAGCAGCAAACTCAGAGTCACACCAGCTGCAGTCTCTCCTCCCAATGCACAGAAAAGCTTCCAAGGAGCAATTTTCACCAGGAGCACAGTGGGGAGAAAAGGGTTAAATGCCTCTCCCTATTCACCGGCAGCAAGGTCAGTGGGATTATCAGCCCCCCCCCGCCCCCCCCCCCACAAACTCCTTGAGCTAATGCTTGGCCTTGGTGCACCTGAAGTGCAAAGCCACATTCAAAATTGCGTACGGTTTGATCCTCGTGGTCAAGTGAGGGAATTCTGCAGGACCTGGAAATCTGCCGTCCCCAGATCCTGCGAGGGCAACAGAAAATCCAGCCACTGACCATTGCAAATCTGCTAATGTCCACTGCCCAGCTGGGCTCTTGCAGCCATCGGAAAGCCTTGGAGTAAGAGCCCCCCGATTCACGCTGAGCGCCCGTCTCCTTCAGCCCCAGATCCTTCTTAAAAACACCCACAGGAAAGCCTTCAGCGCCCCACTCCCCTGGCCTGCTGCACCCTCCAGGCTTCTGGCCCTCATGGCCCAAGAAAGAGGGGTGCCAAGTCACCCACAAGAACCGCCGTCTCCACATCGCTCCCTCTGACTGGCCCGCAGGATCAACCCCCCCCCCCCCCGCCCCCCCCCACCCCGCCACCCCACGTCCTGCAGTGGGCACCTGGCCTTCCTTCCTAGCCTTCCTGCGGCCACCGAGAAGCCCCCCCCCTCCACTGGACCGTCAGATTCGGGTTTTCTTCGCCTGCTCCTGCTCTTCACACCACAAAAGAGGGCTCGTGTGGGGGGGAAGAAAGCTCCGGCAGGGGTGAGAACTGGGGCAGGGGGTGACTTCTGCGGCCCCCGCGAGTCTCTCCCGAAGCATTCTGGCTTTGGCTTGGAGGAGGTGCCAGGAGCGCCGAGGGTGAGCAGGGTGGGACGCATCACCTGGGCGCTGGCCGCGTCCACCTGGCCGGCACGCAGAGGGTCCGTGTTGGCCAGGTGGAAGAGCTGGGCGCCCTGGCCCGGCGAGGAGACCGTTCGGGGAAGCAGGCGGGCGCTCGCCCCATTTCTGGCAGGCTGCAGGTGCGCTTTCCGGCTGCTCTGGCACCCACACGGAGGAGGGGGAGGCCGGGTGTCTGAGCAGCACGTCGGGCGCCATGGGAGCCGCGCGCCGAGAACGGTCCCCTCTGCCAAGCAGCCTGCAGACCCTGCCCTGGCGCAGATCTGGCCGGAGCAGGGGTCGGCCCGGGTCACTTCCCAGGCCCCCGCAGCCCGACTCCAAAGGTGCGCTTGCACACTTTCCCTCCAGGAGGGGGCGCCACCGGGCCAGAAGCCTTCGGCCTGTTCGGACGGGCAAACCTTCTCCGCCCCACATGCACTTTCAGAGACCCCAAAGCGGTTCCGTCTGTCCCTCGCCTTGCACAATGCCAGAGCAGCTGGTGTGACCCAAGTTCACTGTGCTCTCTGCAAACTGATCCAGCCATCTCCAAACTTGTGCCCCCCAGATTTGGTAGACAGCAGTTCCCATGTTCCCTAACCAATGGCCACGCTGGCTGGGGCTGATGGGAATGGTAGTAGACTCGTGTCAGTGCAAACAAAGGCCCTGCAACACAAATGCAAGCGCTAGCCAAGGGCCGGAAGGAAGTCTTTTGAGCCAATCGGGGCTGAGCTGGCCGGGCTCCCGGGGTGTCCATCTCGGCTTCTTGCCGGGGTCCCAGTCGATCCTTTGGGTGCCGACAGATGGGCGCCCCGAGTCCTCTCCGCCACGAGGCACTGTGCTTTGTGTGGAACGAAGGGTCGGTGGAAACAGTGGGCGAACGTGGGATGGGCCCAAGCGATGCCTGCACCCGGGCCGCTCCCTGAGGCGAGGCTGTGCTGGGCCCGCTCCTCTCGCCTCCTCTGCCCCGGTGCCCTTTCATCTCCCGCAGCGCTTGACATTTGCCCTAGGCTTTCTTAGGAGAAAAGCTTCCAAACACGGGCAAAACTCTGGAAGCACTGCAGGCTGGCAGCTGAGCGACCACGCTGCTCATTAATTTAATGGCGCATGTGCAGGAGAACTTCCCAGAAGCTAAAAGGACTTTGAATCTGCCATGCAAACAAGGCTTCTGCTTCAGGATTCTTTCTGGGATTGTGTGTTTTCCACATGGTTTTCCCTTTCTCTGCCTCTCTCTCTGTTCCATCTACCTACAAAGTACTGAGGGAGAAATCACAAGCACACACTCAATCCTCAGGTAGGGAAGAGCCAGCCCTGCACTGCCAGGAATTTACAACAACAGTGCATTCCCTTCTCATAGGTCATCATATTCTCTTGCTCCAAACGGAAAGATAATCTGAGCCTTTCTGGGATCGTGCATGATGCTAGACCTCATTGTCATGCTGTGAAACCAACCAGCACTCAACAGACCGTAGAAGGAACTTCTCCCAACGGAGTAGGGATGTGGTTTGTGCAATTCACCACCGTCCTTAAAACTGAGGAAGTGTGGTGTGTGTTGGTCTCCCCCTTCATATCGGCCCCCAGGTGCCAATGGTGCAAACAAACGGGGTGGGTGGTCCCACCTTCAAACTCTCCGTCCTTGGGCTTGCCAGAAGTCTCTGCTACTGATGGACAGGTTGCTAGACCACCGGGGCCTGATCCACCAAGACCTGATCCACCTTAGCTCTGCACACCTAAGCCAAGCATGAGGAACCTGGGGCTCAGGGCCCAAACCAGTCCTCCTGGGGTTCTGATCTGGCCGTTGGGAACTCCCCAGATGGCCGCAGCGTTTCCACCAACCACTGACCAGCTTCCCAACCTTGGGCGGCTTTTCCCCCTTTCCCAAAGAGTGGACCATCTCCCAGTAACTGGCTGTAAGAACTTATGCTGCAGGTGCGGGTGTTTCAGCCACTGGGAAGTTGCCCCTGAGAACCTCTCCAAGATGGAATGCAGTCCCCAGACCAAAAAATGGTTCTGCACCGAGCCCAACGCCCGTGGAGGGCTGGCAGTTCCTGGAATGGCCGTCATGCGAGCCCCAATCTACAAATCCAGTTGTGGTATGTGGAACAAGGCATCCAACGTGTCGAACAGGGAAGTTTGGGGGGTGCTCTTGCTTTCGCACCCCCCAGCACGCCTTGTGCTGACGGATACCAGCATTTTCGTACCAAGGAAACCGTGGGTGCAGAAGACTAGCTGGCCTGGGAGGCCCCTTCCGACTTGCTCTGTTTCTTAGTGCCCATTCGCCTCCTGGGACTCAGCTTGGGAAAAGCTGGGTGGAAACTGCCCACCTCCCGCGGGCACTGGGCTCCGCATCGATCTGGAGAGCCACAGAAGCACGGCTGCTGGTGGCTGCAGGAGCGTGTCCTGACTTGCCAGGGCTGCTCTGCGAAGTCGGCCGGAAGAACTTCACTGCCAGCTCAGGGGAAAGGGGGCTTGGATGGGCGGCCCCGCCCCACTGGCGGAGGTGGAAACTGCCACGTGTGGGTTCGCACCAGCGCCCACACAGCAGCCTGCGTGCCTGCAGGGGCGCTGCGTGCATCGGGTGCTGCTTTCGGTGGGGAGCTCTCTGCAGTGCCGGCAGTGGGGGAGGCAGGGCCCCCGACATCCCAGCCTGGGGCCGATTCAGGCTCAGGCCAACAACCTTTCCCCGCCCCGCGTTAAATCCGCGCCCCGGATGCTTCCAAGAGGACGCCGGTTCTGCATTCCTTCAGCCCGGTACGAAGAGGAACCCGGCGAGCCCCACGTGCTGGACTCCCAATCCGAGGGGACGGAGGGCGAGCGCGGCACTGTGAGGAGGAACAGCAGAGAAGTCCTGCCGGGGCGGACCCAGCTGCCCGCGGGACCCCGGAGGGCGCCCCTGGCCCGCAAGGCTAGTAGCCACGGAGACCCCCCCCCCCCGGCACGGGTGGCCATTCCTGCTTCCGGGGCCGTGAATGCCGCAGCTGCGCCTGCGCTGCGTGGCGGGGGGCGCCCTGCGCTCTGCGCGCAGCTCCTTCCACGTGCAAAGGCCGCCTGCGACGAGGAGCCGCGCACGCAAAGCCGCAGCCGGCAGCGGGAACGGCCGGCGCGGCCCGGCGCCACAGCCCGCCCCGCGGCGCAGAGGGGCGCCCCCCGGGGCCAGCGGCGCCCGCGCAGCTCAGCCAGGGCGCACGTGCTCTGGCGGGAAGGGGGCGCGCGCCGCCCCGGGCGAGGAACGAAGGGTCTCCCCGGGGGGGCGGGGGAGGCGCCCCGGAGCGGGAAGCCCGGCCCGCCGGCGCGGTCACTTATCCTTGGGCCGCTCCGCCTCGGGCAGGCTGCTCTGCAGGATCAGGCTGGCGCTGGGCGCGCGGACGAGCGCGGCGGCGAAGAGGCCGATCAGGGCGAGGTTCCCCAGCAGCGCGGCTCCCAGGACGGCGAAGGTGTGCGCGGCGGCGGCGGCGGGCGCGCGCGCGCTCAGCCAGGCCCGGCGCGCGCGCATGTCCCCCAGGACGGCCTCCAGCTGGAAGTGGGTCCCCAGCACCGCGCAGACGTGGAACAGCTGGTGGCTGTGCCCTGCGGAGAGCGGGCGCGCGGGCCTGAGACGCCTGCCGCGCGGGGGCGAGCCCCGCGGGCGGGCGGGCGCGCGCCGAGGCTGGCGGGAGATGGAGTCCGAAACGCTGGGCGGACACGCGGTGCGGGGGGGGCCGGGCCTTTTCGCCATCCCCCCCGTGAAACCGCCCGCGCCGCCTCTGCGCTAGTGCGCCCTCGCTGCCAGGCTGATGGGCTGCAAACAGCAGGACCACTAAGCAGCCCGCGAGTTGGAACGGGAATGGCGGCGCGCTCACGCCAAAAGCCCCGACCGACTGGGGGGAGCGGGGCAGGTGGGGGCGAGACACGGAGGCCCACCGCTCCCCCCCTCGAGTGGGGTTGGCCTGGCGCTCGCAGCTCCTGGGCAGCTCCCTACGGCCAGCAGGGGCAGAGCGAGGGGCGCATGTGCGGAGTGCACGCAGGTTGCAGAATCGGCTTTTGCATTCCACTCCTGCAGAGCTCGGATCTGCGATGGATGGCGCACTGCCATCTTCTCCAGCTGCCCTCGCCTCGAGGGAGGGCCTCTTCCCCAGCTGGCCTTGCTAAGCCGCTCTACATTTGGGAGGGTCCCGCCATAGGCCCCCTTTCCCCCTTGGGGCAGGGACCCCTGTAAAGTTGCAGATAATCACAATTGCTTTAAATCCCGCCGCTGGCCTTGTTCTTGTTCCGTAGGAAAGGGTTTCGGTGGTGCGAGTCTTGATGTGCACCTCATCTGCCGGCCAAGGCGCCATGGAGGAGCCCCTCCTTTGCTGCAGAGTCCCGGGTTCAAAGCCAGGAGAGCGGTTGCTTCCAGGCAGACCGTGTCCACCTCCCTCCCTCCCTCCCTTCCGAGTCCTTTTCTTGGGGAAGGGCCACCCTAGCAGCCTCCTAGGCCAGGCCCCAGTGATGGGGTGGATTGGGCCCACGTCCCGCTCACTTACCGATGAAGTCGAAGCGGCCGGGCGCCAGGCGCTCTGGCAGGTGGGATGCAAAGAGGAAGCCGGTGAGCGCAGCAAAGAAAAGATGGTAGAAATAGCCCGCCACAGAGTCGTTCCAGGCACAGTCCTCGCCAAAGCAAAACAAAAGCTGGAAGGCAAGGAGGAAACGTGAGTCGAGGTCGAGGGGGGAGCCCGTCTTCGGGAAGGGGGCTCGGCCCTGCCTCGTTAGCGCAAGCCCACATTTGTGAGGTGCACTTGCGTGGATGTGTGCCAAGGCCAAGGAGCATCAGCACCGAACGCAGACTTGTCAAAATGCACATGTGCAAGCAAGCGACACGGCAGAACTTCCAGAAGGACTCCGGCACACAAATCCACGGAAGCTGCTGTGGCGTCGGCAGCTCAGCCGCACTGCAGTCTCCGCCTCTCGGCCACCCACAGAATTTCACTCCCCAGCGTGACCGGGGTGTCGGACCCACAGCTAGCCTACCCGGTAGAACAAGGGGATGTTGTCGAAGAGGAACGGGTAGACAAAGGCCGTGGTTCTCAGTATCTTGCTCGTGCTGGGACACTCCAGTTCCAGGAATCTGGAAGCGAAGGGAGAGTTAAAGAAGGTGTAAAGAAGCGCAGGGTGGAGATACAAGGAAAAACAGGCCCAGGTGACTTCCCTCCTGCGCCCACAAAAAATCTGAAAAGCAGCTCTGGAGTGAAACTTGGCACTCCACGCACAGCCGTGAGAGAGCAGGCCAGGGCTGAGTCCAAGGAAACGACTCCAACGGTTCTCGGCCATCCTAGGCACGCGTCCGTAAGAGGAGTATCTGCTGAGCAGGGGGCCTGCGCCTGGCTCAACACGGAGGGCACCCCCAGTCCAGATCGCAGCAAGGCAGCCAAAGGCTGGGCAGGGCAGAAGGCAGATCTGCTCTGCGGGTGATCGGCAGGGGACCTCCAGGGTTTTTTGCCCCCCCCCCCCCCCCCCAGCCTTTAACAAGAGGAAGTCAAATCGCCAGAAAGGTACCCTCTGCCATGGCTGGTCTTGTGCTAATTGTCTCTCCTTGCCTCAGTGGTTCCCATCTGTAAAATGGGAATACTAATAGGTTGCTTTTGCCCAAGCGTGCTGCCAACATGTTTCCGGGTGAGGCTTTTATTGCATTTCCTTCACAGCATTTTATGTGCTGGAGGAGGAAACTGGAGGACCCAGGCACCGGAGGTCCAAGATCTTTTTCCCGTGTTTCTCCTTTACCACTTCTCTCCTTTTTCTCTCTCTGCTATATCCATTACGGAGGGAAACACAGTTCTAGAGTGATGTGTTGGAACAGTTCTGTCGGACTACATTTCCCACCATCCCCAGCCAGGCTAGACAAGTTGACGTCAGAATGCTTTTCATGCCAAGGTTTTGTTTTAAATTATTGCCTGGCCACTTGGAAAGAGCCCAAAGGCAAGGATTCCATCCCGTCTCTTAAATGTGGCTGCTAATCAGCAAAACCCGAATTCCGTCTGGCCTGAGATGGGATCAGACTGTGCGCTCTGGGCGTTCTTTTGGCCTGCAGGTCTGCTTGTGGCATTGGGCAGACTTTTCCAAATGCCTGCACCTATTAGGACACGTCCTTCTCTGAGCAGACCGTCTCGTTGGCGCTTTTCTGGAGTGCTCACGCCGTGGAACCCGGTGACGGGGGTGGGGGGCGCAGATGACGCTTCGAGACTGTGCTGGCCGGACCATGGTGCTGGCACAGCCCCTCTCAGCGGGCCTTGCAGCTGCCAGAACTTTTCTAGTCCCAATCCAGAGATGCAGTTCTTTCCGAGCCGAGAGCCATGGTCCAATCCGTGTGGCTTAGGGCAGCTGGCATCAAACGCGAGCAGTTCGCCTCTCACGTGGCCCCGGCCCGGAAGGGTCCCGGAGCGAGGAGCAAGCGGCGAGGCGGGCGGGACAGGAATCTCTCCAGGGCCAGCGTGAATGAGCACATCCGGTGATGTGGAAGCCCTGGGCGGCGGACTCTTCCAACAGATCCTGCCCGAGGCATTTAAGTGCCTGAAAGTGGGAATAATTCCCTTCCGCGCACTTACAGACTCGCCTTACACTGTCCCTCCTGCTCTGCTACCCTTGGCGAGCACACCGAATCCACTCAGCCCCAACAGCTGCAACGGGAGAAGCACCCGCCAACATGGGGACGGAATTCAAGTTCTCTCCCTCAGTTTTAGCACCTCGCAGGACAAGCTACTTGTTCTGCTAAAGGTGCGGGGGACTTGACAGGAAAGAAAACAGAGGAAAACCCTAAATGCATTTCTGATTTAAATATCCAACATTAAGGATTGCTTTTTTAAAAGCCCGATTCCTATTTTTTAAAATATTTAGCTGGTGCACAAATGTACACACATTCTGAGTGAAGCACAAATAAGCCACGTTTTAACTCTTTTGCCAACGTTTTTGGTTAGAGCTGAAATGAATTTGAGGAAAGGACATGACATTTTTAACTTGCATTTGTAAATTACCCCCATTAGATTTTTGAGCACATGACCAATTCTATGGCTCTGGGGTCTGAACAGGAATAGTGAAGAGAAAGAATAAAGTTAAGTGTCGATATGCTCGGCTGCATTCTAGGCCGGAGGATGTTCAGAGACGGGAGTGGATTCCGGACGAGCAACGGTTCTGCACTTCGGGTCGCTGCGTGTGAATCGGCGCTGAGTGTGGCCCCGTCGCAGCTCTGCCCGCGAGCGACGTCAACATACCGGGAGTAGCAAGAGAGGCTCGTGCAGACGAAAGAGTTGAAGGTGGCCACGGGGACGAAGCAGCGGTGCAGAGGACCGTTCACCCAGCGATCGGGCAGTGCGTAGGCGCTGTATGTGAAGGCGCAGCCTGCAACGTACAAACACACATGCCACCCTGGGGCTTCGCCTCGGCTGTCTCCCCCCGTGTGCCGGCCCAGTTTCTCGGAGGTGCGGATGCCCAGAGGGAAGCCTCGGGAACAGGGGTGATGCCTGGTCGATCAGGCATGGGAATGGAGCCCAACTCTGCTGGGGGTCTTGGGGTGGGGCCTGAGGGACGAAGAGGTGGGGCTGTTAGCGCCATCTCCGGCCAAGCAGAAGGCAGAGACCCCTTGGGAAGGAGGCGCAATTCCTGGGCATCTGGCCGCGTTTCCACACCTGCCGCTGCTGCTGCAGCGTCATCTCCCAGGCAGAATGGCGTGCATCCCTCTGTCCCCGGGACACCCATTCCCAGGGGCTCTGCTGTGCTTTGGTGTCCCTGCTCCCCAAGGACCCCCATTAAGTTCAATGGCGCAGGCCGCATTTGGAGCATGGTGGGGCCACACGCGGCGATGTCCAAGCACAGGGACTGGCCTCGTCCCCCTCCCTTTGTCTCCTGTGTGTCCTTCAGGCCCCTTCCCCGTGTTTTCTTCCATGAAAGCGAACGTGCCATATGTTCACCACGGGGAGAGGGGAGGAGATAAAACTTTGAACTTTAGCAAAAGCATTATCAGTGGGAGAAAAGCCTTTGAAAGCAAGCAGCCCGGCCTCTATCCCCAAAGTCTCATGAGGGACTAAAAGGTATTTCTGTGTACACAGCGACCCTGCATCATGCTGGAGTCCCATTCCTAACTTTATCGTCAACCGCAGAACTTCAGGACCCCTCACAGGTCTGTGCTTGCAGACTGAAGGGGTGCTTTGGACCCGTGCTGTTCTTCGCTGCGTCCCCTGAGCAGCTTGCTGGGAAATGGTCCCTGGCAAGACGGAGCCCTTCAGTGAATGCAGCCTGCCAAGCTCGGGGCAAGCAAAGGGGAGCTTTGCCTCGCTTATAATACTTGTGGAGGAGCAGATCAGCAAGCTCTGCTCTTGACATGGTCCCTGACAGTGAGAATTACGTCTCTGAAAGAGGATGGGAGGGAGAGGAACCTATAAAGCCCTACATGGATTAGGACCTGGATTAGGACCCACCTGTGCCTTAAGATCATCCTTGGAGGGCCTCCTCCGGGAGTCACCTTTAAAGGATGTGAAGAGGATGGCTCCTTGGGGAAGGGCCTTCTCGGTAGTGGCACCTCATTTATGGAATTCCCTCCCCAGAGAAGTGCGCCTGGTGCCAACACTACATGTTCCGGCACCAGGCAGAAACTTCTCTATTCGCTCAGCATTTTACAGTTCAAGCAATACGTTTTTAGTCTCTACGGCCAGGTCTTCATTTTACTTTTGTTCTGGTTCTTGTCTTTCTTTGTTTTTACTGGGATTCTTTATCCATTTGTTTCATTATGTTGCAGATAGTTTTGCTTAGTTTTACTTGTGGTTTCACTGGAATGTTTCCTGGATCGTTACTCTGCTCTTACATCTATGCTTAATATATTATGCTTTGGATTTTACGGAGTGTCGACGGCTCCGAGAGCCAGTAAGGCTGAGGGAATGGTATACCGACTTCTAAATTAATGAATAGGTAAGGATCCCCCGCAAGCGTCAAGCTGCCCTCCTCCCCCTCGCCACCTCCACGCCTTACCCAAACTGTAGAGGCTGAGAGCCCCGTAGTCCAAGAAGTAGCAGACGTGCCGGGCGAGCGGCGACATGGTGCTGAAGGTGTGGGCGCAGCTGGACGTGAAGGGGTAGAGGCAGACGAGGCCCATGTAGGCCACGAAGGGCCAGCTGTAGGCGTCCGACCAGAAGTCCAGGCTGGCGGAGAGGGCCAGGAAGCGCCACAGGAAGTACCTGCAGGGGCGAGCACCGAGGAGAGGGGGCCGCCTCTTAGTGCTCCCTGCACCGGGCGTTGCGGCACCGGCTCTGCTTCGAGCATCGGATCCCGACTGCCCCCAGGTTCTGCCTGGCGGGAGTAGCTTGGAAACCCCCCATTTTGGGCCTTGCACTTTCAGCTTCCCCGGTTGCCGAAAGGTGGCCCCGCTTCCCGAGAGCTTCGCCTAGCTGTGTGCCAGCATTCAAAATTCTCCCCTTACGGCTCTGCCTGGGGATGGGAGAGGTTCGTTCAGTTCAAATTGCAATGCAGCGCATCTCATTTTGCACTTTCAGCAGCGTGTGACGTGAAACTCGGTTATCCCTCAAAATTCACATTCATCGGAATTTTGGAATTGTGCTCAAGATGTGCGCAGGCGTGTTTATATTAAGGGAAGGTGCACATGAAAGCACATCTATCTGTGAAAATAGTCAAGGCATGAGTAAAATTGCTTGCAAAAATGGAAATACTTGGTAAATTTCTGTAAGAAAATGTATATATTAGGAGAAATGCACACCAACGTGTGAATGTTCTTGTGAATTTTACAGGATGGAACAAACATAAGATTGGAGAAATTATCCAAGTTTGGAACAAACCAAACTTAAGCTGCCTCAAATGCCATTTTTCATGGTGGAAAGGAGGGACACATGTCAAATCAAATACACCAATAAAAATCAGTTTGGAAAAATGAGAAACAGAAAAACCCCAAATGGACACCTCTGGCTGGTCTTAACACATGCCCAAATCCAGGGGGTCATTCCTGACCTGACAATCTTTGCTGCCATTCACCAAGCTCCACAACGTTAAAAAAGTGTCATTCCCAACCAGCAAGAAATTTGAAATTCCTCAGTGAGGACACAATCCTGCGCACGTTTCGGGAGAAAAAAGCCCGACTCCCAGACTGTGCCCTTCGGCTTCTTAACCTGGAGCCTGCGGTTTTGCTGCACCCCCAGACAACTCGGGGATGGCCCTTTGCGCCAGAGTGGATTTTCACGCTGTATCTTCAGACCCGGGAGAAATGCGGGCAAGTCAATTGCGCCCGCTCCGTGGTGACTGGCCACGAAATTTCCCGGGGAAAAAACTAACCCACTATTTGGACGGAGCAGAAATGTGTTTGCTTCCCAGGATGATGCGACTTTTCCCAGTTTCATACTTCTGAGCCACATTGTGCCCGGAGACTCAGCTATCCTTCAAAATTTGCGTATCTCCTTTCCAACAGAAATGTCTGAGTAAAAATGCAGGTATTACGGAAAATAATATTAACAACAGAGGTCCTATGCATTTAGACAGAAACGAGTTGCACAGCTGAGAGTTTCGGGACTGTTCCCTGTCTCAGATGCATAGGCTTGTACCTTAAAAATAAATGATTTTAGGAAAATGGTACCAAAATATCTGTATATTCGGGGAAATGCATACAAAAATTCATGTATTAGGACAAATGTACACGGAAATGCTTACAGACAAAACCAATGATTAAAAACACATTCTCAAAGCTCAGGATGGACTGAACTAGAGAAAAGAGAAATTCTCAGACTTTGACATAAAGTCAAGTCTAGAAAAATGAGACCCGGAGAGAAACTGAATCAGAAAAATCTCCACTGCTCTGGGCTCCTCTTAAGTAAATGAAGACCTCCTGGCAGGAATTCAGGTGAGTTGACTTTGCAGTCCAGATGGTCCAGGTATTCAGGGCATTCACATTTTAAAAATACTAATTAATTAAAAGGCAAACAAGGAACCAACTACAAAGTTATTAAACTGTCGGCCCTATTTTAAATTGTTCCCTTAATATACCAACTTTCAAGTGTAGATGATGGATCGAGGCCCACTTCATTCCTTCAGGGAAGGAATAGGGAACCTCCAGGCCCGGGGACCGAGTCCACGCCGCCAGGGGTCCCCAGACAATTTCATTTTAGCAGCCCCTCGAAGTTATGAGCTCTACTTGGCGTCATGCTTTTACAATCTGGGCCCCAGATTTTGGGGGGCTTCCCCAAAAACACTAATTCCGGGGGGCTTCCCCAGATGGCCATTGTCTTCCCCCTGCCCATGGCTTCCCCCACTTTGCCAGCTCTCCATCCTTTGCTGGTTTTCTGGCCCCTCACAGTTCTTGCCCCACTCTGAAAAGCTGGAATAACCCCTTTCCCAAGAAATAGAAACAGAGTGAGTCAGAAGGGGTTTCCCGGGTCATCTAGTCTGACCCCGGCTCTGCTCACAGCATGCCCACCGTGTGCAACAGCCCCCCTGAAAAGCTGAAATAACCCCTTTCAGCCTCGCCCACCAGCATGCGGTCCCCAAGAGCTTCTCCGGCACTGAATTCGGCCCCTGCTTTCGGATCCCTGCAGGCCAATGAAGTTGGGATGCAGGGAACAACCTGGGAAAGGAGAAGCAGAGCCAAGGTGCCCACAGCACCAGAGCCCCCCAGCACGGACCGGGAGGGGCCACGGACTTACCACGTAGGGAGGAAATGTGTCCAGATGTTTATGGTTTCGTTGTTCAGCTGGAAGGAGCTGAGGACGCAATCCAAGGCGGAGCTTTTGGGGTGACGGTAGCCTGAGATGATCCCGTCTTCCCAGAAGACCTACAAGACAGGAGCATTTGCCCAGGATGACTCTAAGAAAGCGACTGAACGCGTGTTCAGGCAGAAAGACGGGCCTGCAGTTCCCTAAGCATCCATGCGCTTGCACCTGAAGTTGAGAAAACTGTAGGGTCCGGCAGCACCTTTAGGCAAACACAGAGCCTGCCTGGACACTTCAGCTCACTCCTCAGGCACAACGTTCTCCCTATTGTACAAAGAAGTTTGATTTTTTAAAAACCAACAACTGACAGGCCAGACCCCCACAAGGGTGGTTCCAGCAACCGCGACCTGGAATTGCACATCCTGCATAATTATAATTGCAAGTCCAGTTTATTATTAGAAAAAGGGCCTTCTCCAGCATTGCACCCCATCTTCAGAAGTCTCTTGCAAAAGAGGTGCAGCTGGCACCCTCGTTACCCGTTTTGCCACCAAGGAAAGACCTGTTTGTTTAGTGCCTGTTCTTGGGATCATGCGTTCACTTGCTTTTTGCTCCTGGCTTATATTGTCGTTTATTATCCTGTTTTCGCCCTTTGCATTGTTTGGATTTTGTATGGTTTTAGATGGCTCTGGTTTATTTTATTATAGTTACGTTGTGTTGTGGCTTCTTGTGAGCCACCCGGAGATCCCTTGGGGGATGGGGCAGCATACAAATGCAATCAATGAATCGATCGATTGATCGAGAAAAGGATGGGCAGACGGACGGGCAGACGGACGGATGAGTGCTGGCTGCTGGCTTCCACAATACAGGTATTGTTTCAGTATGTGCAGCAGAATGCACACCTCTGCGGTGGCGCCTCGACTATGGAATGCGCTCCCTAGAGAGGTCCGCCTGGCGCTGTCATTATATGCTTTTCGGCGCCAGGTCAAGACCTTTTTATTCGATCAATATTTTAATACATTTTAACTGCGAGATGATTTATTTATATTTTATATGATGTTCAGCCAGCGTGGAATAGTTAACTTATTCTATTTTGAAATGATATTGCAAGCTGTCCAGAGACGGAAGTAATGGACGGCATACAGACTTGATAAATTAATAAATAATAAAAATGCCTCTGCTACGGAATCCAGTGTTCTGGCTTTCCAGTGATGTGCTTCCCTGGTTCTGGTCATGGGTCAGGAGCTGTGAAGGAAATTCCCCCAGCGCGATCCGCGGCTTGGCCGTGTTTGGGGGGTGCTGCTCTTCCCCAAAGGCACCTCTGGGATCCCCCACAGCCGAGAGGCACAGAAGGTTTTTGCCCGTGTCCTCAGCCTTTTATTTCTTTGCGCTTCCTATTTGCGGTCGCATTACTGCATGCGTAGCTCTCCTGCGAGGAACCCAAAGGGGCTTCCAAGGGTCCCTCCTCCCCACTTTATCCCCACAGCAACAATCCTGTGAGCTGGGGAGGCTGAGCCCCCAGAGGGCCAAAGTCACCCGTGAGCTGCATGGCCGAGCGGGGACTGGAACTGGGGCTCCTGAGCCCCCCCCCCAGTGCTCTGACCCCCGCGTCTCACGGCCTCCATGTTTGTGTCCCATCTGGTCAGACACTCAGGGCACTCATTCTGTCTCACAACCATTTTGGGAGGTGGGAGAGGCCAGGGAGGGGCTCCGCACGGCTGCCTGGGGAGGAGTTGGGGGTTCTCCCCAGTCAAAATCCGGCACACGCATTGCAAGACCAGACTGGCCCCTCAGAACATGCCACAAGCGACGTGGATCCCGTGTCATTTACTCTCAGGCAAGCCTGTGCAGTCCCGATTCAACTCGGGAATTGCAATGGGAAGCGAGAACTGAGCCGAGAATTTCAGATGCTCTAGAGGTCATCCTGGGAGCAGAGTTGGTGAGCTTTGCCTCCCAGCCGCGTTGGCCCCACACCTGAGGCCAGGAGGACTTCCGGAGCACCGTTCGAGCTCGGGACAAAGGGGACCCGGGGGGGGGGAGAGGCAGAGGAAGCTGCTCAGGCTTGACCTGCCCCTTGGGGCGCCCTGGACAGGCAGGGCTCCTGCAGTGCAGCCTCGCTTGGCGCTTTCCTGGCACTATTCCGCCCGCCTTGCTGTCCCGAGAAAAGCGACACCACGACTTTTGCTAAGGAACCGACTTCGGCAGCCCTGGCCACGGCACAGAGCTTTGGCAGAACCCATGTTCCCCAGCAACTGGCACACCAAGGCCACATGTCACCAGGACTAGTCGCGCGGAGAGCATCACCCTCTGCGAGTTGGTCTTGTGGCTCCTCTCCCTCTCTCTTCTCACCTCCTCAGTCCCCAGAGTTGTAGCCTTTCCACAGAGCAGAGTCAGAGAACCCCCAAATCTTTGGGCTGCCTTTTTCTGCCCTTTTCCCGACTCTACAACCCCCTCCCTGTTTTGGTACAGTGACCAAAAACCTACACAACACTCCAGGCAAGGTGTGCCGTCGTGGCGGGCTTCTTTCCAGTGCCTTTCCTAATTGCACCTAACTTGGGGTCAGGTTTTTCCCGGCTGCGGCATTTCGGGGTGACCTGTGCATGAAGGGGCCCGTCACACCCCTGCACCCTCTTCTGGGGTCACTCACCGCCAGCGCGGGACTCATCATCATGAAATTGCGCCCCAGCGTGGAAGGACGGCAGTGGTACACTCACGCGAGGTACTTGGTGGACCCGGAAGAGCCGAGGCAGTTTTATCGTCAGCATCTCCAGTCGCTCTGGGCTGCCCCTCTCACGGCGAGGTCTCAGCGGCACCTCTGCTCCTCCGGGTGCGTGCGGCTGCGGCTGGCGGAGATCCACAGCCCCCTCCTCCAGGAAGCGCGGAGAAGCCTCACCATTTGTGCCCTGAAATGAGACAGAGGAGGAGAGGGTTTGCTGCGAGAAGACACGCAAGAGACCGGCCCGTCCCGTCCCGGCCCGTCCCGGCGTCCAGGCTTGGGCAAGTCAACACAAGCTGGAATGAACTACTCATGAGCCAGGAAGAGGGTCTGAGGAACAGAAAACTCAAGGGAGCATCGCCGCTGGATTTCTATCTCGCCACAAGCTGGGCAGCAACCCTGTAAGGTAGGCCGACAACCTCACTCGTGTATTGCCTGGGGAAGACAGATGGCGAAGAGCCCTGTGATCGCTGCTGATCCACGCATGAGGGTTCATCCACTCCTCTCTTAGCTCTGTCTTCTTTGGCAGGTGGCTCCTGGGAGAGACGTGGCAAAGCCTCTTGAGCATCGGTGCGTCCTCTCCTCCCTCCCGCAGCGCCTCGCTAACAGCCCAGGGCCTTCTGAGACGCAGGAAGCATGCAAATCAGGCCTTACTTTTGCTGCACCACCTTTCGTCCCTGGGGGGGGGGGGGTGTTTTCCTGGCCTTTGTGCAACCCCCCCTTTCTAAAGGGCCTTTGCTGTTGCGAGTGGCAATTTATGCTAGAGTCTGCTGAGGCCTTGTGCGGGGGGGGGGGGGGGTCTGGCTCCCCCTTGCTTTCTGCCCCACTGAAATGAGGGCCCTGGGGGGAGTTTGGCCCGGGGGCGCACAAGCTCTGCACCCCCACCCTACTCTCTGCCGTGCAGGGCTCCCCTCCCCCAATGCACTGGCCGGGGAGACACTCTGCACCTGCTCATGGGCCACGCCATCTATCCCGGCTTCCGGTACTCCAAAGCTTTCTGACGCCAAAAGCAGCTGTGCAGCAGGGAAGCCTGGCTGGGCTCTGGGGGGCATCCGTCCACGAGGGCACAGGCGTGCAAGAGAATCCGCAGGTGCCAAATCGCAGGAGCGGAGAAGCCCGACCAGAGGCCGTGCCCCCCCCAGGAAGCATGAAGCCGCCCGTCCCACCCAGTGGGGCCCCGAGGGTGGGCACGGAAGGCGGGTTCCTCCTTGGCCTTCGTGTCCCAGGTTCCAGATCAGAGGCTGCATTAAGATGCCGACTAAAGAACTTGCTTAAGTGGAGACCCTCAAATGCGCTGCCCCGAGTTTCCCCTCGGCACCCCTCGTTCCCTTGTCCACCCCTCCTTGGGTAGCTTCCTGGCTCTCCTAAAAGGCTGGCGTGACCTTCTGGAGTTGTATGATGTACGGCCCAAAACATATTTCAGGAAGTGCAGCTTGCAGAAAAGCCGGTTGTAATCCGTGCCACGGTATCTGTGCACCGCGGGCCCCCGGCATCGGCCGCAGAGGCTCCATCCAGAGCTGCTGGAGCCGGAGAACAGCCAGGAGAGACACTTTGGCTGGGCAGGGGCAGGATAAAAATCCAGTAAAGAAACAAATACCCATCCCAAGGGCAAGGAAAGGTTCCGGCAGCCAGCGCAATCAGAAAAGGCGACAGAAGCTGGCAAACGGACGCTTGGCCGTTCTGCCTATCAGCAACGGGCAACAAGTCTCTGCCCCAAGTAGCTTACGAGATGTGGGGGTCCGAAAGCACATGGAGAGGCAGGGACAGAAGTGCTCTGTGGGACCCTTCCCGACCACTCCTTCCGGTTTTTCTGTTCACGTCAACCAAGGGCTGGCGCACAGAGGGAAGAGTATCTCCCCACCCTTGTTTTTCCCGAAAGGAGAAATCAAGTGGTTTTTTGTCTTGTCACACAAGGCCTCCATTGACAGCTGCTGGCCTTGACTGTCATCTGCCCACGGAGCGGTCAGAGCAACGGAGGCACTCTGCACGCGTGCGCAGGGCAACCGGGGACCCCTCCCTGCAGCGAAGCGGGATGGACGGGTGGGAGGAAACGGCGGTGGCCGCATCCCATCCCGAGGGCCCCCCCTTTACCTCCCCCCCCCGAGTTCCTCGCTCTTTTGCAGCCTGGCCAGCAAGGGGCACCTCGGCCGCCCCGCTGCCCAACTGCAAAACCAAACCGGGAGGGGGCGGGATTCTTGGAGAATAAAGTCACTGCTGCGAGGGCTCCAGAAGGAGTTTGGCACGCAAGCACATGGGTGGGGCACTGCAGGGAATGCTCTGCTGCCCCCACAGACCGTCCCCCCTGATGTGTGGGGCAGAGGAGGACTGGGGCGGCGTGAGCTTAGTGTGGCAAATCTGCCAGGAGACTGACTGGCACGTCATGCCAATCGGAGGACGGAGTGGAAAGCTGCCTGCTCTAGACCCCCGCCTTGACACAGCGAGAGCCATGCCGCCAGCCTACCTCGCAGGGTTGTTGGAGGGGCCCCCGAGATGCATGCACGCGGCTTTGAATGCGCTGCTGGCACGGTGCAGCCCCATCCAGCTACGCCCCCCGCTCTTCAAGAGCTCCGGCTATTCCACACCCGCAACCACTAGGAGAGGCCGGCCGGGCCAAGCTCACGCAGCAAGTTTCCCTGGCGAGTTGAGATTGGAAGCCCGGGATGCCCCCCTCCAGTCGGGCCCTCTCACCTGGTCTTCTCCAAGCCAACGCCTTCCAGATGTGCTGGACTACAACTCCCATCATCCACATTAAGGGGATGATGGGGGCAGGGGTCCAACATCTCTGGAAGGAACTGGGTTGGGGGACTCTGCTGCAGCCATTACACCACACACTGAAAAAATGACGTCGTTTTCGTCATCTCCGGGTGCTGCAGAGAGGAAGAAGACAGCTAGAACGTGGCATTTCTCGGAGAATTGGGCGTTCTGCAATTTCCCGTTTACCTTAAGCGACAAAGGTGAATTTGCCACATGGCAAGAGAGAGCAAGTCCTCCCGAAAGGCCCTGCAGGAATTCCCGTGCATTGGAACCACCACAGACCAGCTGCATTTCCTTTCCCCCACAAGTTCTCTCAGATGCTCCTTTAAGTGAGTGCAAATTTTAACTTGCCGATACGATTTCGGTAACATTTTATCTGCCCTCGAGCATCTCCAACACCGGAAGAAGGACATGGCTACCGGACCCCTCTTAAACCATGGCCATCCGCAAGATACACGCCCCCCTCCACTCCTTGCCGCTCAGAGCCAGCCTGGACCCAATCCCATAATCAGCCAGGCCATGCCTGCTCTTCAGTAACTGCAGGTGCACAGGCTGATCTGGATCGGGAGCCTCGAACCGCTCCTTGCCCATCTCGGCCGCAGTCCAGCGTCCGGCCCACGTGGCGCGGCTGCAGCGTAAAAGGAGCCGGCCCTCTGCAGACCTTCCGGGAAAGCAAAGAGCCGCTCGGTCAGGGGAGGCAATCAAAGCAGAAGACGAGCCCGGCCGGTCCATCGTTCTGCCTACGCAGCGAGCCAGAAGGGCCTCCCGGGCCATCCAGTCTGACCCCCGGCTCCAGCCGACTCCACTCACGACATGCCCACCATGTGGACGTCCAGCCTGTCCTTGAACACCCGCACCGATGGGGCCTCAACAACCTCCCGTGGAAGCCCATTCCACACCCTCAGGGTCCCGACTGTCAGGAAGTGCTTCCTGGCATCCAAACTGAACCTTGGCTCCCTGAGCTTGGCTCCGTTGGGGCATGTCCTGCCTTCCTCTGCAGGGGAGAACAGGTCTCTCCCCACCTCCATGTGACACCCCCTCACATACCTGTATGTCGCCAACAGATCCCCTCTGAGTCTCCTCCAGGCTGAAGAGGCCCAGTTCCCTCAGTCTCGCCTCATACGGCTTCCCCTGCAAACCGGCCACCAACCTTGTGGCCCTACGCTGCACTGACTCCAACCTGGCTATATCCTTCCTGTAATGAGAGGCCCAAAACTGAGCACAATACTCCAATTGCGGGTGCACCAGAGTCATATAGAGTGGTAGTAATCCCTCTCTCGATCTAGAAGCCACGCTTCTGGCTATGCAACCAAGGGTGGCGTTCGCCCTCTTGACCACCGCATCACACGGCTGGCTCATGTTCAGCCTGCAGTCGACCAGCACCCCGAGGTCCCTTTCGCAAGGGCTGCTCTCCAGCCACTTAGTGTTTAGGGGCTGCTGGAGTCCTCAGAATCGCAGGCCGGAGGTTGGGGACTGGGCTCCAACTGCTTTCCGGATCCTCTCCTTGCCTTCACAACCACCACAGAAAGAACCACTTTCAGTGCTACGCTGAGGTTGGAGAACTGACCTCGGAGAAGGGGGTAAAGGGGATGCTTGGGGAGTTGTGGTGGGAGGAGACCAGGAGCTGCCAGAATCCAAGTTGTCTGGCGGGTTCTCCAGTCTCCCTCCCTCCTCTGAAGCCCCACTGGCAGAAGGCCAAAAGTGGCCGCCTGGCTCCGTCCAGAGTGGGATGACGACTTCCCTCGCTCGCTTCTGTTGCTCAGCAGAGGCTGCTCGTAAGGCCTTGAGTTTGGAGGCTCCCAGAGTGCAAAGCCCCGGACTGCACCCTAATTGCCAGGTCCAGACCACGCTGTCCAAAAGGACTGTGCATTGGAACAAGGAACGATACACTGTTGGCGGGGAAGCTCGTTCCCTCCCCTGGGCAGCTGCGGTGAAGACAGACACCGATTTGAGAGAGCAGAAAGTCGGACATAGAAACACAGAACCCAAGCAATTCAGAAGGGTCTCCCGGGCCATCTAGTCTGACCTCCGGCACCAGCCGGCTCCGCTCACGACATGCCCACCATGTGGACGTCCAGCCTTTCCTTGAAGACCCTCACCGATGGGGCCTCAACAACCTCCCGTGGAAGCCCATTCCACACCCTCGGGGTCCTACCTGTCAGGAAGTGCTTCCTGGCATCCACAGGAGAGCAGGACCACTCTATCAAAAAAAGCCCAGTGCTGCATTGCTGCCTGTCTGAGACATCTAACTTCTCCAGAGCTGAAAAAGGCAGCTGAAATGTACAGAAAGCTCATCATTCTATATTAAAAACTCAGAGGAACAACGTGTTTTTCTGAAGAATTGCTCTGGGGAATAAGGACAAGGAGATCTTTTGGCAAAAGGATGCTGCTATAAAAGAGGCTGCTTTGTTTAGTATTGTTTAATATTTCTGTTCCACTTTTCAGTAAAAGTAACCAAAGCAGCATTTTTTTTAAAGAAAAGCAACAGGGGCAAAATAGAAACAAAGGTAAAAACGAACCAGTTGCAAGAATTAAATGCATCAATGTCGCACATTCATGCCAATTCAGGAACCGCGATTCTACTTGATGTGGGAAAATGGTGCCGCTCACCAGGGCGAGGAGGATGGAGCCCGGCGCGAAGGCCAGCCAAACGCCAGGCCTTTTCACTCTCCGTGCGGAGGGTCTTGCAGCCAGGCTGCTCCTCAAACCAGAGCTACCCACAAACCTATCTCAGCGTCTCCCGCAGAGGTTCAGAGAGCAGGAGACAGGCTGCTGGTCTCCACCTGAGCCATTTTATGTCCCTGCAAAGGCCACATCCTCTGGGGTGCCAGGAAAACCATTTCTGCAACAAGCCTGACTTTCAGCGACAAACCTCTTCGGTGCTGGGAAAAGGTCAGATTTAGATTGTTCGCAAGCTCAGCACGACCCTTTCGACACTCAGGTACACAAAGTGTCAGATCTGGTTTCCAAACACCATTGTGTGCATGCTTTTTTTAAAACCTGCTTTTGTCTTGTCGCAGCGAAATCCAGCAGCGGGGCTGGGCCAAGACCGCATCTGCCCTCTTCACCGGGGGGGGTGGGGGGAGGGCGCCTCTCCCCAGGAATCAAGCAGCAGGCGCACCCTGGTGTAACCTTGCCCCCCTTGAGTCCCCCAACCCAGCACACACTTTGGGGGTCCCCTGCAGGAGTCTAGCTCTGGAGAGGGCGAGGCATCACTGAGCCCACGCTGGCACCAGTTACGCTGGTGGGCCAATGCCCTGCCCCAGTATTCTTCTTCCAAGACAGGGCCCTGCCACGATCTCAGGGTGGGAGTGCCCCCCCTTGTTACACGCCCCCCCCCCCCAGCCTGGTCAGCTCAGAGGCATCCTGGCACTTCAGTATCTCGCAAGCTCCAGGAATCCATCTGATCTGCACTGATCCCCGTCTCTCCTTGCCTGATCCCAGCAGCCCTGGGATGAGCCTCGCCCCCCCCCTCAAATTCACCCCACGACTCTCGCCTGCCCCCAAACCCTCCACTCCTGGCAGGAGAGAAAAGCGGGCGCTTGCACTCACATCTTTGCCACGGGAAAGCTTTCAAGGTGCCAGTGCAGGCCAGGAAAGCTGTCCTCCTTATCGCAGCTTTGCCGGCTCTCCCCCGGTAAACCTCTGCCTGCATTTAGAGATTGCCTGCATTCAAAGGTACTTAAGGGGCATTAGCTCATAAAGCCAAACACTTTCCTTGTGAGGCAGCCACCAACTCAGCCCGCCATCCGTCCGAGCCTCAGCTTGGCTTCCAGGACTTGGACAAAGTCCAGCTACCAGAATCTGGGCGCAGTTTGCTTGGATTTGTAGCCTGATTCCAAGCACTCACAGACACCGTGGCCACCGGACAGGGGCCCCCAAGCCAAGCACCGAGTGCTCCCCTTGCTGCTGTCTACGAATGGCACGGATGGGGTGGGGGGGGGGCAGAAAGACCTCCTCAGTCCTCAGTCACCATTCCGTCCCTCCTGCTGCTGAATGGGAGCCCACCTTCCCTTTCTAGCCGACCACACAGAGTGCGAACAGGCAGTGGACGGAGGCATTGCAAAACAGGCAGCCACCGCACCGGGCGCTTGCCGCCGGGCTCTCCGCTGGGCTGGGGCCCGAGTGCCGGCCCTGGAGCCTCCATGAGCACAAAAGGCAGCACCTTGCTTTGTCCCGGCTCTTGCTTCCGGCTCCCTGCAGAAGCCAGCCCGTGTCGGAGGACTGGGCGCTGATTTCAGGCAGACGCGATTCAGGCGGTGATGCTCAGTCCTTCGTAAGGCCAGGACTGTTTTGCTGGATCTTGGGCAGGCGAGCGTGGCTGTGGCTCCCATGGTCTCAGCATTCACACACGTTTTCTGCAACCTGGAGTTCATTCCGATACTCGTGGCTAATACCCATTAATGGATCTGTCCCGAGGGTCCGTCATCTCGTCCCCTCCACACACCGCGAACGGCTGCTAGTTCCAGCCAGCGGCTGCCACCTGCGGCCATCGCCACGTGCAAACCCACCTGGCCGTCGTGCAAGGGGGGCCTCTGCTTGCTTTTCTGGGCTGGGCAGGGGAGGGCAAGGGGGGGATTTGCTCACACTTTTCCACAGCATTCATTTTATAACACCTTCTCCAAACTGCAGCTTCCTCCTCTTCCGGAAACCACTCTAGTGCCCTGATAATTTGGGGTTTTCTACCCCCTTTTCTAGCTCCTTGGCATCCCTTTTTGAGATGGGGCTGTTTGGACCATCCAGAGCATTGTTTGAAATAACACCAGCTGAGGTTTCTAATGCCGAGATGGGAGACATCTACTTTTAGCTGCAGTAAATAAAAAGGCGGTAGTTTAGTTTAATGTCTCATTGACTGACCTACCTAAAACCTCCCCCAAGGGGGGTCTTTAAAATATGGCACCAGTGGACACCGCAGATGCTTCGTCCGCCCCTTCCGTGTGCCGGAGACGGCCTGCTCACGGGCATGAAAACCTTGTCCATCTTATAAAGAAAAACGTTACAAACATTTTATCCTGTTTTAGAGCTGAGAGAACTGAGGCTCTCTGTTAGCAACAGGATGCCGGATCGTGAAGCGACATCGCAAACGGCTGGATGTTTTCCTCCTTGTCCTCATCGCTAAGGAAAACATGGCTGGATCGGGCCCAAATCCCAGCCGATGCCACGGGTGCTGGGAGCCGACACAGACAGCACACACAAAGCGCTTCAGCTGCTTCTTGAAAATCTTCTGCCAGCAGCTCCAAAGTTCATCCTAGGAAAGCTCAGGAAGGAAAGGACGAAAGAAACCCACCCGCAAGAGAAAAGGGCAACACACGGACGAGAAGAAGAGGGCAACTGTTTGCTTCCAGAGCCATTACCTGCTGCAGATGGTGGGACGGGGGGATCCGCCGGCCCCCTCCTCAAGGGCTACCCTGCCACCGTCTCCATGTGGGTCACGGCGCTGCTCGGCCTGCAGGCTTGGCTTCAAGTTAGCTCCGCGTTTGTGTTTTCCCCCGAATTTTTTTGCTCTTCTCCTAAGCTACATTCCTCGCCAGGCTGGTGGAGAAGTGCCAAGTCACCTCCCGTTGGCTGGGGCTGATGGGCGGAAGGGGAAGAAACGGGCCTCTCTTCGCAGAAGCCACAAGTGCAATAAAGAGGACTCTTTGAAGCTCGAAATTACTCATTATTCCTCCTCCCCAGACCTCCCCACACATATCTTTTTAATAGTCCATCAGCAGTGGTGGTGGTGAAGGAAAGAGCGGTGCTCACAGATTCCTTCCTCGAGGGCCTTTTGGGTGGGCGAGGGGAGTGCACATCCTGCACAGAGTAGTTTGGAATTAGCTGGCCGCACGACGACCCCGAAAAGCCGGAATGGACATTTCTTCCTGCAGTCGCAAGCTTTCTGCTTGAAAAATTGGAACCCGAGGAGCCATTTCCAAAGGAATCTTCCTGATGCAATCAAGAGTGGCCAAACACTCGTGCGAAAGCCTGGCTGAAGAACTGGCGGGTGCTTTCAACCAATATTTTTCAGGCAGCGCTAACCCTGATGCCACGCACACACGCAGCTCTCGAAACCTCAGGGCGCTGGCATGTGGTCCGCACTCGAGGAAAATGCCCAGGCACCACTAAAACAGTGCGCCTGGGTGGTGACCGTTGCATCTCTGGGGGCGGGCTGGCACCAGACACAAAGATACAAGGCCAGAGCGCCAGCCTCTGGCCACAGGAGGGAGCATCCCATGGAGCCTAGATGGGGCCCGAGGGGCCACGGGACATGTTAGATCCCCAGCTCCCCTGCTGCAGGTGCGTGAAGAACCCGGCTGGCTGCCTCTCCAAAGCTGGGAATGCAAGCCTGGAGAAGGGGTAAAAAGGGGCATCCCAGTGGGGGAGGGGGAGGGGAACCCTGAGGTCCCTTTAACCGCCTTCCTGAGATGCGCCAGGCCAGATGGACAAAGAGCCCACATAGCGGAAACGCAGCGTAGGGGCTGGGGAGGATCAGAGCATCTCTGCCATGCGCAGGGTGACTGTGGCCCTCCCTGTTCGGGGGTTTATGGCCAGCCACCGTGGAATCGCATGGCAAAGCTCTACCTGCCACAAAGGCTGTCTTTGCGGCAGAGTCAGCCCACCCAGCACAGAACTGGAGGTCAGGGAGCGGGTTCAAGGCCAGGGCAACCTCAGTCCTGCCTCAGGGTGAAGTGGCCACTGCAGATCACTGTGTCGAATTGGTTTTTTGTTTTATCATATGCTTATTTGCAGAGGTGCTCGGCTTTCGTTTCTCCTGTTTCAGGTGCCAACTTGGTTGACTCAGCCGTGGGTGCAAAGCACCTGGACTGTCAGGGCTCTGTCCTCTGCTCAGCCTTGGGCACCGAGACGCACCGGGTTGGCCCTGGACGATCAAAGCCTTTGCAGGAACACGGAGTCCTCCAGAGAGTCTTTGGCCACAGCAGCCAACTCTCCTTCACCGCTGGCTCTGCTGGCGAGGGATGATGGGACATGGAGAGGGCCACACGCCCTGCACAGCTGGTGGTCGAGAACTTGCTTTCCTTGGTGCAAACTGTGCAGAAGAGAACGGAGGGGCTGGCAGAGGCAGGGGCGGTGGGGGGGGGGGAGAGGAGGGTGAGGAGGACGAGATGCAAGGTGGCAGAGGGAAGGAAGCAACGAAGACATCCATTCAGCTCCTGCCGACCACGGGGTGCAGCCCATGGTTTTTTCCTGCAGTTTAATGGCGCTTGACTTCCTTGCTCTGCTCTAAATGGTTTGCGCTGAGCAGAGTCCGTCAGTCTGCGAAAGTTAACCCTGACCCAGAATTCAAGCCGCGTCCTTGGAAGAGGCGGAAGGACGGCCTTTCAGCGAAAAGGTGCAGCCACAAAGGCGCTTTCTGCCGCTGCCCTGGCCAGATCTGGGCCAGTGCGCTGGGGAGGCATTGTGTGGCTCGCGAGGCGGACGCAGCGGCGACGCAGCGCAGCGCAGCCCGTCTGCGGCCCTCGGACAGCCAGGCAGCAGCGAGACAATGCCCGGCCGAAGAGCTTCCGCAGAACAGCGCGTTGCAAGGCAAAACGGGACGGCAGTGGACCATCCGGCCAGACTCACCATTTCCTCCTTCAACACACACTTGCTTGGCTACAAGCAATGCACACGGCACACACCTGGCTCTCGACAACAGACCCGGTTTGCTTCATGTGCTAATGAGGGGTGCGGCAGTGTCCTTCAGAGCCAGCCCCGCTCCCCCCCCCCCCGAGTTTTCTCTGCAGCCTGCCTTCATGAAATACACGGGCTGCGAGTGCACCCAGACCCTCCGCCGAACAAGCAGCCAGCTAAGGGTTAAGTTCTGCGTAGGTGCCAAGCATTTCTGGCAGCGTTCAAGCGCGCTGCTTGTTCCCTTTTGGAATTGCTTTCAGAGGGTTTTCACTGACTGGGCCAGCGCTGCCCTCGCTCAGAATTGGCTTTGCTTGCCTCCAGTAATGGCAGCACACAGGTAACTCCAGCCGTGCGGTATCGTGACAAGCCTTTCTAAACCGCCTAGTGAGCTTCAGCTATAGGACTGCGCAGAAATGCAGTGACCAAAGCAAACGCCATTCCATGCCGGATCCCCTGTAGGACAAGCCAGGGAGATGGCAGTCCAGGAAGCAGCCCGAGTCCACAGCCGTCAGCTTTTCGGCATGAGGTAGGCAGTTCAGATAATACATTTCTGAGCACTGTTGTGTCTGCAAACAGATTCTGTTGCAAAGAGTTCTCTCAGTTTCCATTCAGCTTTGGCAGGAAAAATAAACACAGAACCACCCAGCTCCCACTTGTTCCCAAGGTTTCAGCAGGACAAATAGCCAACTGTGGCAGAAAGAACAGAAAGAAACCACGAAGAACAGGCATGAAAATATCCTCCAGAAACAAATCCGGCACACACGGCGCCAGTGCAAAGGCCCGACAGGCATGGAAACCTGAGTGCACGCACATCTAAACCGCCAGGGGGATGACCGCAAGGTGCGCACAGGATAGGGGCGCAAGGCTACAGGGAAGGCGCCCGGAGCCCCCCCCCCCCAGGGGAATCGAGTTGCTCTGCCTCGGCATTCCTGGGGGATTTAATGCCTGCCCCCCTCCAGCCACCCCCAATGGACACACCGCAGGCAGCCAGCCAGCCAGCCCAGAACGGTCCATCAGGGAAGCACCGAGCGAGCTTTCCCTTGGCCTGCCTAACATCTGGGGGCAGGCCCCCGCCGGCACGCTCCGGCCATTTGGGGACCCCGTTCGAGAGAGGAGCCGTGCGGGGAGGTGGAAGGGGACCTGCAGCCCGCAGCACCTCCATCTGGATCACGCGGTGGCCCAAAGAGCAGAACGTGGGCAATGGCCGAAGGCCCGCTCGGAATCAGGGCTCCCCTGGCCCACGGGGCCGCAGGCGGCACGGCCATGAGCTGCTCCCCTTCACATGCCGGCAGCACGGACAAGAAAATATAGGAAGAGCGGCGGCCAGGGTGCAGCGCTGAGGACCAAGCCCTGTCCTCCAGAGGGCCAAATCTAGCTTGCTACGATTCCCCAGAACACGGCTCCCTTCCCACCCGCCCTGTAATCTTGTTTCTCAGATTTAATGCCGCTTTCCCCCGGTTCCGATAGGTCCAAATACTTCTCATACGCCTTAGCAGCCTGCAGAAGAACCTCTAAGCAGAGCCAGCCGGCTAGTTCTGCCATTTCGGCCCCAAGTGCCAGAAGGAGAGCCAGGGGAGCAGTGGTTAAAAGCACGGGGCACGGACCCGGGTTCTAGTCCCCATGGAGCCCACTGGGGACGCTCAACCATGCCTGCCCTCACAGGGCTGTTGTGGGGAACAGGCTGGGAGGAGGCGGATGATGCGAGCTGCTCGAGTTCTTCGAAAAGGAAAAAGGCAGGACTAACTCTACTAAATGAACGAGCACCAGTGAAGTGCAGCTGCTTAGAGAAACAGAATTTGCTTGTCACGCTGAAGCCGTTCTGCACTTGCAAGGCTGGTCTCCCCCACCCACTCAATAAAAGCACAACAGATCAGAAATAAAGATTTACAAACAGTTTGCGTTTTTATTAAGCCAAGTCGTCGTGTCCCGATCAAATCAGAGGGGAGGTGCGCCGTGAAGTCCAGGGCCAAAGCAGCGCTCTTCCTCCTCATACCTTCCACCAGGCCTCCCGAAAGCGCCGCTGGCAGCTGGCTTGGTGCCAGGCCAGGCCGGTCACTTCTGGGGCTGTACATTCGCATCCCAGTGAACTCCCCCACCTTTGCCCCCCCCCGGAGCACTCTGACCTTTCGAGAAGCGGCCTCTGCGGCCAAGCCCAGGACCTGCGGCCTGGAGTCTTTGTAAGGACCAACACCGCTCACGGCTTCCCGAGCGCGTGGACAGCCCGGGATCTCGCCTCAACAGAAAGAAGGGAAAGAGGAGGAGGGAGGGCGTTTGGCACATCCCGGAAGTCAATGGAGCCCCCAGCAAAGCTACTGCTCCTGTGCTTCCCGGGAGACACACGCGGCCCCCCAAGACGGGCCAAGATTAGGTGGCTTCATTGGCAGAATGCAGCAAAAGCCCCGTTTGCAGCAACATAGAGACGCATAGTTCAGCCGATTTCCCACCTGGCTCCTTCCTTCCCTTCACGGCCAGAGTTGTTGAGGCCAAGTTCAGTAGCTGCCCAGGACCCCTCACTGACTAGGCAGCCCGGAAATCCTCCCGGTGTGGATTCGACCCCCTCCGCGCCATGTGCCGGCACTCGGGTGTGCCCAGCTTGGCTGGAGGCCTCCACGCCCAGAAGCGGCAGGACTCCCCGAGACGAGAGCTCCTGCAGAGCATCCACCACTGGGGGCAGGAGGAGAAGTGGCATTTTTAAATCCAACCAACACCCACGCCTACATCGCCGGAGAGAAGGGGCTGGCGGGCAGACGGGATGAAGAAGGGCGCTCTCTAGGAGCGGACCTGCCCACCAGCCCCCATGGCTCACCAGGCAGTCCTAGCCAGCAACTCTGGCTTCGAAAGCGAAAGCTGGATGTCCGGAAGCAAGTGCTGCTTGGAAAGGACACTGACAGAGGTGGCCAAAAATGCCAGCGGAGCATTTGGTGGCATTCAGGTCTTCTGCTGCTAGTGACTCGCCAGCCAAAGAGGCTCTCCAGGAGAGGGGGGAGGGGATGCAAAAGACCCTGCAAGCAAGCCTCCGGACCTCCTGCATGGAGGTTTCTCAAACTGGGAGTCAGGCCCAGACATCTTTCCTCAGAGCAGGCCTCCAAATCTGACCACTCCGTGCGCTACCCTGGCCTCCCGTTTCAGCAAGAGCGCTGCTTGGAGTGGCGCCTCCCCAGCTGAAGGAGCCAGAGACCCAGCTGGGTCTCATGCACAGGTCTACCGAACGGCACAGAGGGCCTCCACCAGAGTGGCCTCCACAGCAAGGAAAGCCCTCTGGGGGCCGGTCCACCCCAGCCTAACCCTCTGCAAACATCTCGGCTCTTCTTGCGTCCCTCCCGAAGCGCAGGAAGGCCTTTCCTTCCTTTCCCCGTCCGTTATGGCAAGGCGGCCAGGCACACGCCGGGGGCACATACGCCAGGCGTTTGCCAAGCGGGCCGCCGCAGTTCATCTGCCGAGCCTCTGCCTCGGGTTGCAGTGGTCTCAGGTCACCCGTACGTCTTAAGAAAATAAAAATAAAAATCCAACAGCTCACAGCCGGCCATAGACTCAAGGGAGGACGTGCAGCTCTGCGCAACATTCATTCCAAGCACCTGCAGCCTCCCCCACAAAGCCAAAGCTCACCCGCACACCCTGAAAACGCACCTGCACAGCTCCCCCAGCATGGCTCCTGCCGGCTTGGCCTCCCACTGCGCCCCAAGTAGCTAGCTCTCCTTGCTCTCTCATTTCAAGGCGGGGCGGCCAGATTCCACTGCGAAACTCAGAGGCACAAGCACCTTGGTGAAGCAGGAGAAGCGTGCAGGGCGGGGAAGGCTTTCTTTAAGGGGGAGCCGGCTGCGGGTTTCTGAGGCAGAGGGGAGCTTGAGAAGGAGAGGGAAAAGGAAAGAGCGGAAGCATGCTGGCCCCTGATCTGACGGCAGTGGCTATCACCAAAGCAGCGGACACAATGGAAGTCTTTCCCCGTTTTGCCTGGGATGTGTATGAGATGTGGAGAGATAGAAAAACAGGCAAGAAGGCAGCGCAAAATGTTAGCAGGTTCGGGTTTAATCCCATTCTTGGATGAAGAGCCAAGCTTAGGAGCATATTAAGGGGATTGAGAGAAAAGCGAGGCGAGTGCGAAGCACGGAATCCCCTCTGGGTCCAAGATGGGCACACGTGGGACGGCTCACAAAACTGCAGAGCGTCCGGCTGATTTCCGGAGCGAGCGAGGCGAGGGGCCACGCGCTGGGGTGACATGGCACACACCTGGCCAGCAAGCCTCCCTTCCGCTCTTTCCCGGCTGGAAGGAACTGGGATGCTGGGTGGGCTCCTCGCGGGAAGCACGGGAAGACGGACTCCAAACCCTGTTAGCACATTCCTTCCTAGAGGGTGTCAAAGCCGCTGGGAGGGGTGGGGGGAGGAAGGGCCAGTCTGGTGCTCAAAGTACGTAGGGCAGACGAGGTCTGGCTCCAGAGGGGGCCCCCAGGCAGAGAAGCGACTCAACCTGGAGAAGGGATGCCTTGCTAATACTCGTCTCTTTTCAATCCTTATCCTGGTGAACTTATTAAAATACTGGCACTGGCAAACCGGAGGACTGGAGGGCATCAGAGATATGCAGAGACAAGCACAGACAGTTTCCCTTCAGGCTCTCCGGCACAGAGGTGCGTTCCGCACCCGCGGCTGTTGCATCTGACTTGTCCATTCCGGACTCTGACCTTCCAAAGGTAAGGAGGAAGCACCAGCGTTTTCGCTAGGGAAACAGAACATTCAGGGGCCCTTCCACCTCACCCTATCCTGCAAGGCATCCTCCTGACCCTCCCAACAGAAGGGCTGAGGCGCCAACCCGCAGCCGCACCATGGGAGCCTCTGCAGAGGGCTCTCGCCAGTCCAAGCTTTCTCCCCGCCTAACGAAGAAGCATTGATCTGAAGCAGCAGAGGGGCAGCCTTTGCCCCGCTACCTGTTTCCGGAGTGTGGCAACAGGGCCAGTGCAGCACAAAGAGATACTCATTTAATTCCAGGGAAAGAAAGGAGCGGGTTTTCACTCCCTGCTCAAGCGGCCTAAGCTGGGTGTGGGACACCGCTCACACGACGCGACAATTCACAGGAAAAGCAAAAAGGGAAAGCGTGAATACAAGGGGTTTCCCCCCACCCATTTGGACAGGAAGAGAGAGGTAAGGCACAAAAAGGGATAAATTGGGGGCAGGGGTCCCAGCCAGATCTTCCCACAAGGGACAAAGAAATAAACCAGGGTTTTCATTCCAAGCCACCTTGCTCAAAGCCTGCGTTGCTTTGCTTAAACAGGACCACGGTTTCCTTGCCAGCTTTAAATCTCTCCGGTGTCTGATGGTCCACAAAAACCCACCCCTGCCCCTGGAGAGGGAGGAAAAAGGGGAAATCACTAAGCATTAACGAACAAGGGAAGGGAAGGGAAGGGAAGGGAAGGGATGGTGCCGCCCACTTCCCCACCATCGGATTCCCCCAGAGCCACTTCAAAATCCTGGCCCTTCCCCTCAGGATCACGGGCTTGTTTGGAGGTCTGCGGCTGCAAGGTGGGTGCAGTGGCTAAATGCGTTCAGATTCCCGTTTCGTTTGCTTCGCTTCAAATGCAGGCCACAGAGCTTCCTGCAGATTCTGAAGACGAGAAACGAAGTGAGCGTTTTGGAGGCCAACGGCGCCCCTCCCACGGACCAGCCTCGCCTCGCCTCGCCTCGCCCGTCTGCCGGGAGAAGGGGGACCGCCGCCCCGGGTCTGGCCGAGACGCATCTCTTCGCCGGGCGGCTGCGCTCCCCATGGCAGACGCCGCCCGTTCCGTGAGAGGGAGGGGGTGGCGGGGGGGGATGTGTCTGTGTCTGGAGCACACGCCCCATCGCGCGTTTTCGCGGGTTGCTGCCTTGTGTCCAAATCTCTCCCGTGGTTTGACTTCTCTCGTTCCTACGCGGCACGTCCAAAGACGGGGAGACAGAGCTTCAACCAACCCAGCGGCTTCTCTCTGCTCAGCCCATTTCCTTCCACTGCTTGTAGAATTCCAGGACGTTTTTTATTTCAACGTTGGCATTGCCTACTGCCTGGATTGCAGACTGGAGAAAAGACACGGCCATAAGAATGCAAAAACAAGAGACCGGGGGGGGGGGGCGGGTCAGGGGGAGAGCGGCCGCAAGGTTTCCACCCTCTACCCCACCCCAAGCAACGCGCTCTAGTGTAACGCTCTGCCCTCCAACAGTGGGACAATTTTTCTGGGACGCTCACAAGCAGAACGCGACGATGCCGTCCGTGCCGTTTCAGGCAAGGAGCGGGAATCAGAGTCTGCCTTTGCACCCGCAGCAGTAAGTTCCTCCAATACCACTTTTGCTCTGGTGGGAAGCAGTGCCCCCGCCCCCATTTCAGTGGCTATTCTGCACCCACAAACTGACTGATCTCTTTCTTCCTGCACAGGTGGCTGGATGGAGTCACTGGGGCAGTGGGTGAGAGCTTAAGTGGACTCCAGGGGATGGTGGAGGACAGGAAGGCCTGGAGGAGTGTTGTCCACGGGGTCGCGATGGGTCGGACACGACTTCGCGACTAACAACAAACGACATAAATAACAGGCCTCGGCTGCCTCCTTTCAAGGACCTCAGGACTAAAACACAAGGGAGGGGGCTCAAGCCAAGCCGAAGGAATCGCAACGACAAGCCAAAAGCAGCCGCCTGCCAAGCATGCCCACCTGCATGGGAGCCGACAGTTTACTGAGGTCCTCCAGCTGGAAGCCCGTGATTATGGTCACCATCCCGGTGGTGTCGTCTTCGCCGCCTCCCTGGGAGGCCGTCAGCTGTTTGCAGCTGTCCAGGATCTTACAGAGGTTCCTGTTGCGTCGGCCAAAGAGATGAGAGAGACAAGCGGTGCTGCAGCTGGACTTGGCAAGGAGCGCTCGCGAGTACCCAGGGCTGCATGCTTGCAAGAGCGTGGCTGAACGCCGGGGCTGAACGCCGGGGGCGGCGGGTTCTGCCACTGACGCACAAGCGGGTGTTGTGCAACGTCCCGTCCGGCATGTGGCGGGCCCAGCCCAGCCCGGTTTGGTTCTGGGCCCCCACCTCAGGGAAGGCACCCCACTCTCCTCTGAGCCCTCCCTCCAGTACGCAGACGACAGGGAGGCTGGGAGCTGCTCTGGCCACCGAGGCTCTTGGAGTGTGAAGGTTATGCTGGGCTGGAGGGGCCACACTGAGGATGGCGACTTTTAAGGCTTCCAATAGATCCTTCTGGCCAGGTGCACCTCCCTAGAACAAGGGTGAGGGAGCTCCCTTCCGGGGGCCTCCCGGAGTGCAAATCTTGCTGTCTGCGATCCCCCAAGTGCCCCCCTCCTTCAAGCACCAGGCATTTGGCACGTTCCAGATGCTGCGTCACTTTCCCCCCATTCCAAGCATCTCTTAAAGGCGTGGCAACGGACAATAAAGGCGTCCCAGTACAATAAATTGGGTATTTTTGTACTGGGCTCTGTTCATTTGCCCACCACCGAAATCAATCCCTAGGAACGCCACCACAGAATGTGGCCTTCAGGCTGAAGACAGACGGTCTCCCCCACTTGTTCAGGAAACCCGGCAGCGTGCGGGGTGTTCCCTAGTTTGCATGTTTGCTGAGCCTCAACTGCATTCGGAGGAACTCAGCCCATGGCCTTTAAGCAACTCTCACTTCCGATAGCTTATTTTACATAAATATTTGATTTGGAAGCCATTCAGAGAACATGTTTATAAGGCAGGATTAAGAAATAAAACCCCCACAATGCAATTTGAAGAATTCTGGCCCATGGTAAAGAACCCGCCATTTCCAGCTACTGAAGATGCCAGAAAGGCAGTTTGGCTATTTCCGATCTTTCTTCCAAGCACCGCAACCATTACAGACAGTGACCAATCAAAGTCTTCCCCTGTGAGTGGGGATTTCCATGCAGGGCTCCCTCAGTTCCAAACCACTCCCCCATCACCCACTTCTGAAGAACAGGGACTAGCAAAATTGTTACTGAGTAAGATGAGAAATGGCCTCTGAAGGAAGTACGATGACAGGCATCCCAGGAGGGGCAGAGGTTCCTCTCAGAGAGGAACGGAGTCAGGCTGTCTTTCTACAACTGCACATAACTACCGAAAACCCACAGTACTTGGTGCAACCCACTGAATTCTGCATCTTGACACTCAGTTTGATCTTATTCCTTTTGAAGGGTCTTAAAGCGACTGCAAGAGGTTTTGGAGGCAGCACTTGAGAGCAGCTCCAGTGACCAGGGAAATAGCGATTCTGTCTCCTAGCTGCGGGGCAGAGTGGGGGCAAAGCGTTCTGAGAAGAAAGCCGGATACAAGCTTATCTGCGTTACTTACCAAGCATCTAGGTCTTGCCTCTTCAGCTTATGCCTTTCAAAGCTCTTCCCAACCTCTTTCTGGCAGCGAATATATCTGAGACAGAAGATCCGACTCAATGAGCCCAGTGGAGCAAACGTATGTCCTTACTTGCAACACTTTCACACCACTTCATATATTAAAATCCTTAAGTGGTCCACAATAGAAATGCAAGGTAAGAGCACAGGTAACCGAAATCATCACGACGAGGTGATGGGAGAGGCTGGGGCAGCCTCTTAAGGTCATGGAAGGCACACACACCAGCAGGAGGGCCTCAAGCCGCCTTTTGAGCCTGCCAGCCTCCCGCCTTGAGCCGCACGAGGGAGGAAGAGCGCTCCGAAGGACGGGGGCCTCCCTGGAAGGCCAACCAAGCAGAATCCATGAAACGTGTGCACACGTTCAGGGCAGCTCTGGTGCTTCCGAGGTCACACACACAGCTCAGCCCGTACGCCTCTGACTGTGAGTCAGGTGGGGGCCATTTTGAAAAGCCACACGCTGGAAGCAGGCTGCTTTTCGTGGGCGGGAGCCTCCTCGGCCCCTCGGCCTTGCACTTTCTTTCTTTTTTGGGGGGCGGGGTGTGCAAAACAGAACCCAGGCGAGATCTCTTAAACCTCCCCCTCATTATTTTGTCCCAGGAAACACGAACAGCCGGCCCTTTCTCCAGGGACCACCAGAGAAGGGAAGAGCACCCTACCTGTTTCCCTTTTTAAATTCTGCCTCCAAGTATCGGATGCTGTCTCGGGCACCTGCGTTCTCCTTCTTCAGGAAGTCTAAGCCATCAATCACTGATGAAACAAGAAAGGGGGAGCGTTACAAATCTGCTGCTTGCTCCAGGGGCCACCTTAGCACAGGATAATTCCCTCTGGAACCCTCCCCCCCAGTCAGAGTCACAGGACGGAAGGCGCAACTGGGTGCCACCCCTGCTCAGTGCAGGACCCCCCCCCCGGCGGCTGCCCGGGCACGTCTCGAATGCCTCCAGCGTGGGGGGGCACCCCCCGCCGGGCCATGCCTTGCACTGCCGCACTGCTCACAGCCGGGCTGTTCCTCCAGCTCCCCGCAACTTGAGGCCCTTGCTCGGAGTCCTGCGCTCCGGGATGACTGAGGAGAGACCTGCCCTTCCGCAGCGTGACGGCCTTTCTTCTCGAGGCCAGACTGGCCCAGTTCTTTCCTCACAGAGCTTCGCCTCCGTCCCCGGATCGTCCTCGCTGCCCTCCCAAGCCCCTTCCCAGGCGGCACCCAGAACTGCACGCAGGACTCGAGGTGGGGCCGAGGGGAATCCGGACTGAGTGGGCACGCGCAGCGGGGCGGACGAACGCAGGGGACGCGCTGCGCCAGCCCGACCAAGCCAAGCACTGCCGCAATGGGCTGCGGCCCCACCGCGAGGAGGGACTCACCTGTCCGCGGGATGATGACGATGAACCTCCCGCTGGCGGCCAGCTGCCGGATGGTGCAGAGGTGCTGGCAGAGGGCCTGGGTATCGGGGACCAGGTAGGGGGACATCACGCACTGTGCTCTGGGCTGCTGGAGGCTGCCCTCCAGCTGCGACACCTCCAGCTGTGGGGGGGAGGAGGAGACGCCTGACCTGGAGAGCTGGCTCCCTGCCGCTCGGACGCAAAGCCTCCAGGGCAGGGGAGCGCCCGGCCACAAGGGGAGGAAGGACTGCGCACGGAAGAGGAGCCCCTGCTGAGAGGGGGCGGTCCTCCCCACGGAGGGCTCAGGGAGCCAGCAGCATGCGCAGCTGGGATGAACGCGTCCCAGCTCGGCCCAGGGAGCCGAGCTGCAAAAACACCTGCCTCGGATTCTGGACGGCTGCCACCCACCGCCGTCCGTCCTGGGCCAGGTGGACCCAGGGCTTGCCTGGAATCACGGAGCGCCGCGGGACTGACTCTGGCAATTCCTAACCTCAGGCAGGAATGCTCCTCAGGCCTCCGTGAGAGGGGCCCGGCCCGGGCAGCAGGCGCCACGTTGCTGGGGGCTTCAGCTGTGGCCTTCCCGGTCTGACCCCCTCCCAGTGCGGGACCCGCGCGCCTTGGCAGCAGAGCCCCGATTCAGCCGGGGCCTTGAAGGGACACGTTTCCACAGCTCACGTGGCGAGCCCCACGAACCCCCAAGGCCTGCAGCTCGCGCTTCCGCACCCCGTGAGCAGCCCCACACCATACCTGCAGCCGGAGCTGGGCCATGTCCCTCATGAGCCTGTTCCGGCGAGCTTCCTCAGCAGCCTGGGAGCAAAGGGGACAGTGCAGCCCCCGTCAGTCCGTGTTGGCGCCCCCCCCCCGCCGTTTCGGCGATGCTTCCGAACAGCAGAGGTCCTCACACGCACAGGTGGTGCGAGCAAGGGGGCCTTGAGCGAGCGGCCCCCCCGCCCCCCTGGCCAGGCACTTCCGCGGGGAGCGCCGGCAGGCACGCGCCCCCGGCACGCGCCCCCCGTCCCGTTCCTGCCGCGGGTGCAGCCGCTCACCATGCGGAGCTGTGCCTGCGCCTGCTGCAGCAGGCCGTCCTGCTCCGACGGAGCGATGCTGATGAAGATCCCGACCTCGGAGTTGAACTGCAGGATGCTGCCTTGCAGGTGGGTGATGAAGTGGCCGAAGCTCCGGATGCAGCAGATGCGGACCACGGACTGCGCGCGAGAGCAGCAGGGAGGCCGTGAGCTGGGGGGAGCGGGGGCCGCCCGGGCACAGCCGCGCCACAGCCGACGCGCGATGGAAGGGGTTGGATGGGGGCCCTCTGGCCAGCTCTCCGCAGTCAAGGCGGGCTGCAGAGCCAGAGGGGCATCTCCGCCTCCTCGGTGGGCAAGCGGCTGCCTGGGGACGTCCACCAGGAGCACCTGCGAGCACCCTCCCGCCCACGTTCCCCAGCAACAGTGGCCTTGGAGACCGGAGGCAGCGCAGAGCCCTTGAGACCGGGACCAATGCGGGGCTGCTGCTGCTGCTGCCCTGCACAGAAGCCAGCTCTGCGGCTTAACGAAATAGTCCTCCCCATTTCTCCCCAGCCCCCCACCCATCCGGAGCCTGGGATGGCCCCACTGGGAAGGAGAAAGCCGCCTCCCTGCCCGGCTTCTCCTGCCCAGGCCTCAGCCACCGCCCTTCTCTCGCATCCCCCGACCCAGCCCTTTTCTGAGCTGAGCCGCTCCGGCACTGCAGCCCCTCCTCAGGGGAGATGCCCCGTTCCCCGGACCGCCCGAGTCGCCCCCTTCCGCGCCACTTCCAACTCGACCCGGGGTCCCTCTACCCACACGGCTGCTCTTCCGTCCCACATTTCCGCCCGCCCCAACGCCACGCCGAGGGCCTTCCTCCCACCTCTTCCACTTCCGTGAGGGCAGGCCGGTCCTGCTCGAAGTTAAACTTCTTGTGTGCGTTCTTTAATGGGGGAAGGTTGCGGAGGGCCACGTCTTCGGGGAGAAGCAAGCAGGGGCTCGGGTCTGGAAGGTCACATCCTGGCAGCATGCTCTTTACCTCGGTGCAGAGAAACAGCCCTGCAGCATCAGTGATGGGAAGGGAAGGGAAGGGAAGGGAAGGGAAGGGAAGGGAAGAGAAAGGAAGGGTCAGAGCAGTCACGGGATGGCCACAGATCCAGATGGCCTCTGCTCCCCCACTGTAGCCTGGCCGGCCGCCTCCCCGCCATCCCTTTGCCCGGCTGCTGCACCCTCCCCCTCCCTGCCCCCACATCTGACTAGCCCCACCCAAATGCAAGAAGTGCTCTGCAGTTACTGGAACCCCCAGATCCGGACAAGTTGGGGGGCCCTGGGCTCGGCTCAACAGCAGGCTCTGCCTCGGTGTTCTGGTTCGCCCCTCCTTTCGGCATCAGCAGAAGTTCGGCCTGCCAGGCAGCGTCACGTGTGCCCCACTGTCCGGAACCCCGAGAACGACGTGCAGAGGGTGGCTGCCCGCATCACCACCCCACTGCCACCCCACGCAGCGCGAAGTCCCGTTCCCCTGGACCAGGCAGGACCGGGAGTGGGGCAGCCTCCCAGGGAAAAGCGGGGAAAGAACAAGGCCTCTTCGTGGGATGCAAAGACTGGCACAAAGGCAGGGCCTGGGTTTGGGAGCGGCATGGAATGCCTTCCAGAAGAGGGCCTCGCTCAGCCCTGCCAAGGATTCTGAGAGCTGAGGCCAGGGCGCTTCGCAGGCAGAGCTCTGCCACTGAGCCGCAGCCCTCCATGGACGCAGGATCTCGGAGGCACGGCCCCAGCCGCAGGCAGGGAAGATCGTGGCCGAAATTCCGCAGAGCCACCGAGCGGGGAGTTCAGGCGGCCTGGTGCAAACAGCTGCATGGGAATCCAGTCCCAGTCCTGCGCCAGGAATTTGACTAGGTGTCGGAGGAGAAGGCCCCCAGTAAACAACAGCACCGCACAGCAAGGCGGGCACAGCCAGGGGAAACTTCTTGTAAACATACCGGAGTCCTGCAGGTCTCCAGCGGAAGGAAGCAGGTTCAGAAGGACAGAAAGTCTGTTCCATAAACTCTGAGAACTCTGGGGAGGAAGAACACAAAGGCGTGGGAGGTGAGAACGCCGGGCGCCACAGCGTGGCTCAGAGAGAACGAGGTTCAAAGCGCCTTGCGGCCCTGCAGTTCACCGGAGTGCTTCGGGACAGCCGATGCCGGGAGGGTGCGTGGCAAGACAAGCTCAGCCCAAGCCGCACGACTGCAGCCGCAGGGGAGGAGGGCAGGGAGCGTGCGGGGGCAGTCCTCCGCACACACGCCCCGGCCTCCTCCCCAAGCTGGGCTTCAGCGCTGCAAAGGGGCAGGCCGAGAGACAGCGGCGTGGGCGAGGAGCACCTTCACTGCCTTGCCACCCGACGTCACACTTCTAGCTCTGCACGGGCCGGGGCTGCCACGCACCGGGAGGCGCCGGCTGCACCGTCAGCACCGACACCGCCGTGGGGCAAGGGCGGACACCAGCGAGGCAACACGAGAGTGCCAAACCAGCGAGGACTCTGGCTCGTGAGCAGCACAGCTCTGCTAATCCGAGCGCTGCCCCGTCGATGTTCGCGGAGAGGTGCCACGCAGGCGCTGTCTGCAGTGGCTTGTGGGAAAACCTGCCCGCAACCCAGGCCTGTGGGTCTTCCCCACATCATTGCCTGCCGCCCAGTCCCCCTGCCACCCTTGCCGCCGGCTGTGCATCCGAGCCCTACTGCATCACCACCCCCGTGGGGGGCGGCCGCGCAAACCCTTCCCCTCTGCCCCCCGTGCTTTAATGTGCGTTCCACCCAGCTTGCCCTCAGGAAGCCCAACCGACACCTTGCGCTATTCCTGCAAGCCCGGCTGGCCCCGGGCTGAACACACGCCGGGCCTCATGTTCGGACTGGGCATTTGCCGTGAGCCCACCGGGCGCTGGACGAGAGCCCCCACCGCACAGACACACGCGCACCTGCGCACACATGATGATGAGGTCCGTGTTGGTCCTCAGCCAGTCCAGGAACACCTTCACGGTGGGCAGCAATCCCTCGCTGGCAAGGATTTCCAGCCTCTCCTGGAGGGAACGCTCATTCCGGCAGGATTTGCTGCTCGAGAGGCTCTCCTCCGACTCAGAAACGTCATCTTTGGCAAGAGAAAGGCCTCGTTAACATCAAAGACACTTGGACAGCTTCGCGAGGGGCAGTAACAGCAGGAGCAGAAGATAATGGAAGGCTCCGTTCTAGGAAAGGCATCTGTCTGGCCCCAGTTTTATTTTTGCTTTCCTGGCCCCATGAAGCCTGCTGAAGTTTTGCTCAAGAAGTGGTAGAAAACGGTTTGCCTCTGCTTTCACTGATGGGGCAAATGGTTTCGCGGGAAGGAGAATTTTAATACTGCAGCTCTCCTGGTTTCCAACAGAAGAAGTGGGACCTGTAACAAAAGATCCTCACCTTTTGTCTGTGTGTCCCTGCTAGCCAACCATGACTTCCGGATAAGCTGGCATAAGCCACCTGGCACCCTCCAGACGCCTGGGACTACAGTTCCCATAGACCTCGGCCAGCAGGGCCAATTGTCAGGGCACCGTCCCCCGAGGCATTTAAAGAGCGTCATATGGCGCACTGTCCATCCCAAGAAGACCACTTTTATTCTGTCCCCCTAGGGATTTCCTCTCCCAGAGAACGGCGGCATTTCTGTAGCCCCTGAGCAGGGAACATTTCCTCTTGATTCTCATGAGCCGGTGCCCAGCACCTGAGCTCCAGGGGGAATGGCACGGGCCCTGCCTCACGCCTGCCTGGGTGTGCAGCATGGGTGCAGCATTCACCCCACCTGAGCCCTGAAGGGCTTGCCGATTTCACTGGAGGGCCTAGTCAGGAGGGGCGGCATCTGGCGTCACGACCACACTCTTTGGGTGTGGGCAGTGCCATGTGAAGTGCACACATTTCTAAGGCGAGGGCTGATCACAAGCCCCCGGCAAGCGTGAAGTCCATCCCACTAGATAACACTGGGCTTTTACCATGGGGATGGTCTGCTGGGCCACAGACCCTGAGGGATGACGGCCACTTTCACCCAGAAACCCCTCCCCGGAGAAGCAGGTCACCTCCAGTCTTGGCCCGGCTAGAATTGCCGCTTCCTAACTCTGCCCTGCATCCGCATCCGCATCACATGCCTTTGCCATCTGCCCCTGAAAGCCGCCAAGAACGCTCGCGCCTGCTTCTAGTTTCCGTGGAGGGTTCCAGGGCTCACGGGCCCCATGGCTGTCCCAACGGGCATCACCTCATCCTTCAGAAGCATTTAGCCACTTCATCAATAAACAGGGTAATCCCAGGAAGCAGCCAAGAACCAAGAGCACCTCATTGCTGATGCTTCCAGGGACCCTGCTTGGGGGGACGGGACCACTCCGTCAGCTTTGATGAACTGGGTGGCAGCGACAGGGCCTGCTCTGGGCAGTCCCACAGCTGGGGGCCCCCTCCTTAGAGAGACTGAACTGTCACCTGCTCCTGCACCCAAACTCTCCTTGTCAGGATTTTATCTTAAGGACAGGCATCAATCAGCAGGAAGTGTGGGGGCCATTTTGCCCACCAGAATCCCATCTGCAGCCCACGGCCCAAAGTCGCAGGGTGACCCAACCTATTATTAGTAATAACAACGCTAATGCTACGACTCGTGGTAGCGCCGTTGGAAGAACGGCATCCATACCACTAAGGACTGCAAAGTCCACATTTGACTCTGTCCCACAGCTGCTACCGGCTCTTCTACGCCCTCCTCAAAACCTCCCCAGTTCCCAACCCAGTCGTTCTGGGCAGAAATAAAAAGGCGTCCCAAATCTCGCTGGTTTGGGAGACAAAATGAGCAGAACTTCCTTCAGGTTATTTAACGACAGCTTTCACTGGGAGATTCCCAGCATGTGCAAAGAATTTCCCAGAGAAGCGTTTTATATCCCAGTAAGTGCTCCTAAGGAAAGTAACTGCTTTAACCACCGCCTCTCCACCTATGGCCCACCAGACTTTTGCCAACAACTCCCATTAGCCCCAACCAGCACAGCCCATTGACGGAAGCTGTAGGCCAAAATATCTGTTTGCCCAGCCTTCACTGGGTATAAACTACCTTCTTGGGTCGAGGCGCATTGAAATGAATGCACCTTTGTGTCAGGACTGGCTGCAGTCGTTCCAGCTGATCCGTATGCGGCCCTGTGGCGAGCCATGCTCTCCGAGACAGAGTCCCGCAGGCCAGCGCGCCCATTCCCAATAGCCTCCAACCACCTGGACAATCCCATTTCAAATGCAAGCACCTCCCGGTCGGGGGCAGCCTCAACATTCGCTAGGGGCTCCCTCCAGCAGAGCAAATGGGAAAAGGGCGGACAGCGTGGCGGGACCCTGGGCTGGCTCCTGCCCGCCGTGGGGCTCTGAGCCGGCCCACGAGTTGGATGCAGTTGGGCGCAGGGAGAACACGAGCTGCGCACGGCCTCTGGGCCCTGGTCCACGCCAGTGCCAAGGCCTCCTTTCCAGCCCAGCAAGTTCTCGCGGCCTCACCTTGCTCGGCAGCCGCGCTGGCCTTCTCCACGTCCCCATTCACACAGGGCTTGTCGCCCGCATCCTCCTTCGGGGCAGGCAGCTCGCAGTTCGGCTTGAGGAGGACGTTGCTGAACGTGGGAGCCAGCCGGAAGCAGCGCTTGGTCTGGAAGAGCTGTGTGGACATGGCCTGGAGGTTGCTGGCTATGCTGGCGTCGCTGGGGCCCAAGGAGCCCGGCCCGTTGGCGACGGGCTCCAGGGCTGCCTCAGCTTTGGCGACGCCGGGGCTCTGCACGTCCGCGGGCTGCCCGCCCTCGCCTTCTGCCGCGTCCAGGGCCTCCCTGGCACCATTCTTCATGCTCCGCGACTGCCCCCCTCCCTCGGCGTCCACCTCGCCCTCCATGTCCTCCAGGTCCGAGCGGGACTCCTGGCTGTTCATGTCCGAGTCGGTCTCCACATCGAATGCCGCCTCGGCCTCCTCACCACTCTTCTCCGAGCCGCTCTCGGACCCGTCGCTCCCCTTGGTGGAGCCCGGGCTGGAGTCAGAGTCAAAGCCCTCGCTCAGGTCGCTTTCGTCCCCCTTCTGAGCGTGGCGGCGGCGGCGCAGGCAGGAGAGGCGCGAGTACTTCTTGCCTTTCTTGCTCTCGCTCTTCTTCTGCTCCTCGGCAGGACGGTGGTTGGCCAGGTTGGCCTCAGCGTCTCTCTCCACAGAGTTCAATGGTTCCCGGCCCTCAGGATCCTCTGCAAAGGACAGCCAAAGCAGGCATGCTCTGGGAAGCCTTCTCATCCCAAGTGGCTCCCCGGGCAATTCCACACCTCACCCTGTGATCCCAGACCAGTCCTCCCCCCAGCACATCTGGAGGGCATCCACCTGGGGATGGCCACTGAGCAGTGACAGAGGAGCAAGCGGGAATTATTCCCGTTGCAGCTTTTAGTAGAGGATGGACAGCATTAAGTACATGTGTATCAGCAGCTGCCCTTGACAGAGAGAATCGGGTGGTCTGCTGAGCTCAGCACTTTCTACCTGGAAGGGCACAGTCTCCTCCCACCCGGCCTCACTGCCTCCCTCTTTCTCCCCACTCCTGGCTTCTAGCCTGGCTCTCATTTTCCTTTCCCAGTGAAGCAAAGCAAAGTCAGTGGCCTGGTTTGCAAGTTACAGAGGCTGGTCCGCTTGCTGTGTGCAAGCCTCTTCTGCTTTGTTTGCTGCATGATTTCCAAAACTGGTTCATGGGCTGAACAACCTGAACTTAACCTAAGAATTTACCGAAAGTTAACACTGGGTTGTTTAACCCACAGACAACCCAAAGTGTCAGGGGTTGCCCTTACATGAGAACAGACCCAGTAAATCCTTGCAAGAAAAAAATATCCATCAGACATTTCAATAGTATAGACGCTTATCAACTTTGCGACTGTCCTTTTTTGTAAAGAATGCTGGGAAATGTAGTCTGCCATGGGGAGAAATATTCTCAATTAAAAAACCTTAGCCCCTTGTCACAGAACTAACAATTCCCAGTGTCTCCTGAGAAAAGCAAAGGACTGTTAACTGAAGTTTAATTTGCACTGCAGATACGCAGGCTTTTCCACGTACACACAAGATTAAAAACTCTCTCCAGGAAATAGGAGGGAGGTTCTTTATGCAGGAAGCTGCAGTGAGAAGCTAAATTCGGCTGAAAAGGAAAGACTGGACCAGGAGAGTTCTGGCTACACCTTGAGCAGCAAGGTCCCCTGTCCGATGCTGCCTGCCTTGTCACAAGGGCAGAAAGGCAACCCAAGCGATGCCAGGCAACCAGCAACCAGACGGATTTAACTACCTCTGGGGCAATCCCCTGCCTTTACCTGTGCCATCATTCTGGAAGGCTGGAACTGCGTTCTCGCCTTCTTCCAACTCCGCCTGCAGGCGAATGTTGACGTGGTTGATGAGATGAGAGAAGAGGGCCAGTGTAAACGCAATGGCTGCACTGTACTGCTTGGAGCCTGCAAGGAGAGGGAGGGAGCCGGGTGAGGAGAAGAGCAGCCAGTGGCCAGGAGACCCCGGTGCCGAGCTGGGAGAATGGGCTGCGCCTGCCTCGGGGCTCAAAACACCTGCAGGGAGCAAACCTCACAGCCACGTATTTGCTCAATTCAGAGCAATGCCAGAATTTTTCCAGGAGGAGCAAAATTAGACCACCCGAGAGAAGCAGACCTGGAAAAACATGTTTGCCCCAAAGCTAAGAATGTTGATATTTCAGGCACTTTCAAAGGCTGAAATTTCCACGTGAGGTTTTAGCCTTGCTCACTGCAACCAACCTTTCTTTTGGAATGGAAGAGGGAAGCAAACACTGAAGGAGGGTTCAACTTGCTTCTCCTGCCGACTCGCCCTGTGCACAAGTGAGCCCAGAAACTGGTTCCTGGGTTTGCGGAGTGGAAGTGCAATGGGCCGGGGGCCGAACGGCACCCTTCCATGCTGCTATTCCAGCACATAAAGTGCCAGCTCAGTTCACTTGGCTGTAACACACGGACGGGCCCCTCGGGAACAAGCAAGCCAGAGCTGTTGCAGCAGCTGGACTTCTGCAGACTCCCAGAATCTCTTCCCTGGAAAGATCCTGCAGGGTGGCACCAGTTACCTGCCCTTTTGAGGCTGTGGACGCTCATCAGGCAGACAACGACCATCCGGAAGATCAGAAGGTCTGGCAGGAAGGAGTAGCCATTCTCGTATTCCTCTTCATCCTCGTTGGCAGAGCTCGTGTTAGGTGGAGAGGGCAAGTAGAAGAGGCAGAGGTTGAAATCCTCCAGGACCGACTGGCAGAGAGACGTCAGCTCGGAGTCCACAGAACTGGGCATCAGAGAAGACAGGGAGACAGGGCCCCCCGAGATCATGAGACAGCCCTCGCAGGGCGCCAGCAGCCACGGGGTGGAGCAGGCTCCCCCTCCAAGCCCTCCCCGGCAGTCCCAGAGTGGATCCAGTGGCCACGGGAACCACTGAGCCTGCTATTTTAGGCAGAACCCCCCCCCCCCATTGGCAGGAGTTGCCCTGTACCCAGCTGAAAACGACGATTATTCTTGTTCATCGACATCCTGCGTTTTTCCAGCTCAGAGGAAGAGCAACTTTACTCAAAACCCATCCCAAGCAGAACAGGCATTTGAGAATTCAACTTTTTCCAGCAGCCGGGCGCTTGTCCTTCCCTAGCACATCGCAGCCCCATCCTGCACGTTCACAGGCCAAAGACGACTTAACCTCACGGCGCAGGCAACACGCCTTCCAGTGAAAGGACAACACTTCCGATTTGCAACAAAGGCAAGACCCAGAACAGATTAAAGGGCCGGGGGCGGGGGAGGTTGGAGCAAGGATTTCTCCCCCTGCATCCTTAAGACACGTGCTTTCCCTAGCGCAGAGGGTTTGGTTCCGGCGATCTGCCCTGGAACGACGCCTGCTCCAGCGAAGCCACGATATGCAGCACAGAGGCACAGGAGACAAGCGGAGGCTCGAGAGACTCACCTGCTCTTGGGCTGAAGGAGCGTCTGCAAGTACAAGAAGCTCACCAGTAGCCTTTTAATGTCTTTGCACCTACAGAGAGGGGTGAAGTGATGGGTTTTAGCAGGGAGGCAGGAACAGTGTGAGTCAGCGCCGGCTTCCAGACTGCCGCTGGCCCAAGAGCTCGTGGCAGCAAGGGATGGTTTTGGCAGCAAAATCCTTGTGCCTTGCACACCGGAACAGACTTTGCTTTCTTTTGAGATCACCGACATGCCATGAACGGCTAATAAACAGCAGGGGATGGCAAAGGGTCGTAGATCAATTGTTTTGGGTGATGGAAACAAATTAATATAATTGGGACAGACCATTCACAGGCATGACCCTATGCAAGTTTAGACAGAAAAAAGGCTTACAACCCTCCGCGCCCTCCAGTCAGCATGTTCTGGTCTTTTTTTCCAGGCGTCTTTTCTGCCTAAATGTGCATAGGATTGTGCCTTAACAATGCTTTCGCTTGAAGTAGCTTGCGTCCCATTCATACTTCTGGAATTGCCACAGGAGGACCTTTTCCTGCTCTTGGCAAGAGCAGCACGTCTTCTTCAGCAAGATTTCTTTAAAAATCAAATTTCTAGTCCTGCAGGATTGAAAGTGCGTAGGTGATTCCTGACACAACCCCAGAAGCCATGGTTACCGGAGGAATTGTGTGCCAATTCCACAGACTGCAAAATTCAGCCTGGACACAGAATTACACCGTGCAGCTGCTCAACGTTTTGGGCAACTACTGCGCTTGTGCAATAACACGAGGATGCAGGGCACCTGAAGCGCAAACCACGGACAGTTTTGTACCTAGCATCCCAAGTTCTCCAGCCTGGATGGGGAAGGATGCACGGACAACCTGCTGCAGCAAGCAGCGGCCGCACTAGCCATCCAGGCATCCAGCTGCTACGCCTCAACACAGAACAGCAACGGGAAGGCAGTGGAAACAGCGCCCTCGAAGACCTGAGAAGCCTTCACAGCAGAACAGTGGTCTTCCCCACCCAGAATCCCCCAGTCACGTCATCTTCTCAATGCCAAGAGAACCTCTGAGGCGAAGAGGAAGATTGCCCCGGAATGCAGACCTGATCCCAGCTCAGACAGCACTGGCCGGACCTGCACATTTATTTGGGATATTTCTGACCCGTCCAATCACTACACATCTCTGGACAGCTCACAACAGTCAGTCAGTCAGTCAGTCAATGCAACAGCGTCCTACTAGCCTCTCAGCCTCAGCTTGCGAGCTATAAAAGGGGCCCAACTGAGTTGCTAGCACAGAGAAAGAGGGCAGCAACATGTTTTTGCACACCGGCTGGATGACATGACATGAGCATTATAGTGTAGCCCAAAGGCTTCTGCAAACCTGCTTCGGGACAGAAAAAAATTCAGCCCTAGAAAAACCAGTTTCTGCAGAACAGAGAAGCCCTTGAGAATAATGAAGCTGGTATTCTTCCATCTAGCACCACACATGTGCAAGTCTGGAAGAGCTGAAGTGCCTCCCCAAATTGAAAGGAGGTTCAAAGGTTCAGGACAGACAACGCTTGGGCTACACATCGCAAACCACACAGCAAAGAATTCCAAGACTTTCCCAACAACAGATCTCCCGCAGCTCAGGTCATCCACGGCTTCCAGGGTCCTAAATGCGCTCTAAATGCGCACAACCGCCTTCTTCTTGTTTACGGAGGTACAAATCTGCTGAAACCGGGCTTCCTGGGGCTGGAATTTTTGCCACCCAGTGTAAGTTCAACAAAAGCTTTCAGGTTAGGCTATAAAAATGTATCAAGCACTACCGAGAGCAAATGAAGTTGGGCACAATCAAACAAAGTTCAGAGAGGGAGGGAAGCATCACTGAGGTCTGTAATACCCTATTTTCTCCTCTTCTTTATGTGTGAAGCTGGGCAAAAAACTCTGGGCCAACCTGGATTAGAACCACACCGGGGGCTACCCTCAAGGTCACTTCCAATTTGGATGAACTCCCTACCATTAAAGCAGTCAAGCAGAGGACGGACAGCTTTGGGGAGCTGTTAATCCCGTGACAGCCATTTAGGCTCTTACCTCTTTTTACTCGGCGAGAGTTTCCTGGTTTCACATTTCTTCAGCTGGTGATACATTTTGGCAGCCTTATCATACAAACGTTTGAGGTTCCCGTAAGCACCTTCGAAGGACACTTCGGACTGGATACTGAGGAGGCACAAAACCCACAAAACCATGTGCATGCGTGATAACGTGGCGTAAAGGTTATTTTATTTTGAAAGAAAATGGCTGGAAGAGCGCGATCCCCTCCCACTGCGCTCGTGTGCCTTGCTGGCCGAGGAGCCCTGAGCTGTTGCAAAGCACGGCAAGCTCCCTTCTCAACTCCGCTTCCTTCGGTTCCTGCCACTCCAGCAACGCTGCCTCCCAGCCTGGGTGTCTGGGCTGCTGTACACATTACGCAGCAGCAAAGCCAAGCCTGCCACTGGGGGTGTTCCCAAGAGGAAGGCAACCCCACTCTAGCACACCAGCCCTGTGGGGCCGGTCTGTAGGGAGGCCACCGCCCCACCCTGGCCAGTACAAAAGCACCCTCCTCCCCCATAAAAGAGGATGTGGGGGGGCGCGCGCGGAGGCTTTCCTGCCTCCGACTACAATATGGAGAAGGTAAAACGGGGGCCTTCTCTGCTGGATCTGACTTTCTGCACCCCCTCAGCCCTTCACAGGTGAGAGAAGAAGACCTGGCCCTGCCCCGAAACGCATTTAGCAGAGACATTACAGAAGCCACCTGGACAACATTCATACAAAACTGGAGGCAGCCTAGATCTGGAGAGGTCGCTGTTCTGAGCATATTAGCAGCGGTGTCCTATTTGAGCTGACTGGCCTGCCCTGTTAAGGGAAATGCCTGCGTTTCTTCATACACATCAGCACAGTGGATCTTGGGCTGCAAGACGGAAGCACAGAACCGGCTCTCCACTTTGCGAGTCAGTCCCTGGAGGGGAAAGGGCAGCTGCATCTCCCCAGCAGAGCGACCGGAGGCCAAGCCAGGCCAGGCCAGTCCTGCGGGAGCTGCATTCCGGCACCTTTTGGCCCATGCTTAGAGCAGGGCAGGCCACACCCGGCAGAGATGGCATCTGGCTGCCCCAAAGCGAAACGCAGGGGGCATCTATCAACCCTCCCCCCTTCCCAGGCAGCCCCGTGGGGACATACTCACCAGCGCAAGTAGCAGTAGGTGGCTTCCACACTGTAGTATTTGCTCCCAGCCAGTGTCCCAAGCTGGTTAAAAGGCATACCTACCCCAGAGAGACAGAACACATCTTGTCTAATAGCTTCAAGGCAGAACCCGGGAGCAACGTCCGAGAGAGCCTGTTTTCTCAAGCTCTATGAAAACAGGGTCATGACAGAGGGACGCAAACAGAGGGAGAACCAGGACCTGCCCTGGGACAGGTGCCCACAAATGACCTACGCACAGGGGTAGCCGGGCTTGCCCGCAATCCCAGATTTGTGGTGGTGAAAAGAAGCAAGGTTCCAAAACGCACCAACTGGGGTGGGGGAGGAGATTAAAATGTCAAATGCCATTCAGTGTCAGCAAGTGCCAAGCGATGCACAACAAGGCAGGTAACCCAAACTCAGCATTCGGTGTGTCTGAGTTGGGGGTGGCTGACCAGGAAGGGGCCTTGGGGCTGTGGTGGACAGCGAAAAGGACAACTGTCTGTGAAGATGTGGCAAAAGAAGGGCAAATTCCATGTGGGATCGCAAGGGGAGGACAATTAAAGTGCCCTTTTTGTCATGTTTTATGAAAATCTATGGCGCAACTGCACATGGACAGTCCTGGACAACGCATCTAAAAAAAAAGAAGCATGTTGCAGACCCTGGAAGAACTGCCAAAATGTGCAATCAAAATAATTAAGGGCTTGGAGAGACTCCTGTAGGAAAGGTTACAACGTCTGGAGCTTTTTCGCGTAGGAAAAATGGAGAAGGGCACGAGTGGCCATAACTGAGGTACACAACATTCTGCATGATGTGGAGGAACTACTAGAACGTGGGGCACTCCAGCAGAGTCCCCTTTAGCACCCCGTGGAATGGCTGCCACCATCTCCCTTCCTTCAGCCTCGCTCCAGTGCATGCGTCCCAACGCTGCTTCGCTGTGCTCGCCACGCGGAACTTTTGCCCTCCCAGTAAATCACACTGAAAGGAATGTCAGGGCAGGGGATGCTGCAGCAGGGGATGCTTGCTTGCTTGCTTGCTTGCTTGCAGATCGTTTCCTCTGAGCGAGCAAGCCGCTGCCTCCCCGCACGCAGGGCGAGGTGGGCGGCAGCGGGTCCAAGCGGGCATGGCGGGCCGGATCCGGCCCCCGGGCTGTAGTTTGAGGACCCATGTCCTAAACGGCTTAGGGCTCACCTAACTGAAGGACTGCCGCCTCCCATACAAATCAGGGATGCAGGCGCTGTCCCTCAAAGAGGTGGGAGGAATGGCAAATAAAAGAAGGGCCTTCGCAGCGGCTGCCCCCTGCCTTCGGAATAGCCCCCCAGTGATGCCCGCCTGGCGCTGTCTCTATTATGGCTTTGGTGCCCAGCAGAAAAGTTTCAATTCCTTTTTAACGCATCGGCCCTGCCCTCCCTTCTGCTGTTTGTTACACTGCTGCTGTTGCTATTATAAGGCTTTACACTCTGACGACGTATCTTGTTTGTTTGCTGTTGTATGTCATTCATGCTTTTTCTTGTCAGCCGCATGAGACCCTTGGGCAGTATGTGGCGCATCACCGGAACAGAAACGAAGAGGCACGCACCCTCCTGCCGCTCCGCGTGCGAGTGCCGCGTGCGAGTGCCGCAGGTGGGCTCTTGCTGGACAGCCCCGCCAGAGCCAGTCCGGGTTGGCCACAGATGCCTGGCAGACTGGCGGGCATTTTGAGGGGGTCGCCACCCGAGGACCCCTGCATCAGACTGCGCTGTGCCACCTCAGGACAGGGACACCGGACCTCTGAGAGCGTCACTTACCGATCTGCGGTGCAACAGAAAGGGCTTGGTAGTAAAACCGCTCAGCCAGCAATTCTGTGTCCACTCCAGCGAGTTCGTTCTGGTACCGGGCTGAAGAGGAACAAAACACACGCGCGGGAGTAAGACAAGGGCCTGAAGTCCAGCCGCAAAGCCACTGGGCAGGCACTGCAGGCAACGAAATGGGGGGCTCTGTCCAAAGACGGAGCCGGTGGGGATGCGCCTCGCTGGGCGGCCAAGGGCCGACTCCCATTTCGGAAAATCGCCCTGGGACTGCGTTCCAGCGGTGGGCAAGGCCGCAAGCAAAGGGGGCGGAACACAGACCAAAAATCTGCTTCTTGCCCTGCTACCCGAGCCGCAAGCGGAACAGTTCAACCTTTTAAACAGGGGGAAACAGTGCCAAAGTCAGGAAACCCCAAACAGTTGAGCACTGGGAGCAGGGGCCGGGGCCGGGAAAGGGCCCGTGGCCGTCCGGGAGAGGCGAAGGGCTGCAGAGGCCCCTCCAGGAATTCACAGGTGGCCCCAGGCCGGAGGGTCCGGACTCCGGGGTTACAGCTGCAGCACTCCAGTCAATGGCGAGAAATGCCTCGCGCATCGGCAGGACAGGCCTCACCCCTAACACGGAGCCCCAAATTAACACGGAGCCCCAAATTAACACTTCTCCGCAGGGACCAGCTGAGCTTCCGAGGGTCTCCAGGGACGGAGCGCGCCACTGCCGTGGGGCAGAACTCTGGCTCTGCCTCTGCCCTCCGGGTGCAGCAGATAGGGAGCGCTGTGCGGACGGCTTTGCTATGCCAGGACCAAATCCTGCTCCGAAGGCAAGAGCCCAGTTCTCCCCTGCACTGCAAGGAGGTGCGAGAGTCACGGGGCCGGAAGAGCGCTCGGTCTCTGCTCCAGCCAAGGCTGTCCTCGCGAATGCTCACCCAAATCCCCCAGGTAAACCAGGCACCGGTGGCAGGCCATCTGCGCCCACTCCATCTCCTTCTCCGACGCAGAGACGGGCTTCTTGCAGCCTGCGGGAGAGACAGGCAAAGAGGCAGCCTGCAGTGAGCACCCCAGGAGAGCAAGCCTGGGCAGGCCTCGCGCTGACAGGCGTCCCCAGGTACCCCCCGCCCGCCCCCCGCTTGCAGCCAGCACAGTGCACAGCTGCACAACACAAGCCAGAATTCAAAACCCCGCAGCTTCACTCGTCCTCTGAAAAGGGACACACTTGAACCTGCAGCAGGCCCGGGGGGATGCCAGGCAAAGCTCCAGCGGCCACCGGGGATCCGAGTTCTCGCAGCAGCCTACCCCAATCTTGGTGCCTTCCAGATGTTGGGACTCCAACCCCCAGCATCCTGACCACTGGATGGCAGCTGAGGTCCAAAACATCTCAAGGGCACTGTGGCGGCAAGGGCAGCCTCACACGGATGAGGCTTCAGCCCAACTCCCTGCAACTCACCCCACACTGCTAGGAGCACAAAACAAGCCGAGGAGGAAGCGGCAGACGGAAGAGCCCCGGCATCTGCATAATTCGCTCCCACTCCAGAACCTCCCTCCCTCCCTCCCTCCCTGTTTTTGAAAGGCTCTGGCCTTTGCTGTTCACAGCATGGTGGTGCAGGTGGCTGCACCGTGCAGCCCAGAACAAGGCCCTGGGAAGTCTCCCCTCCAGGGAAAGGCCTTCGCACCGGATGCTCCTTGGTTCAGGAGACAAGACAACCCGGGTGAGGAAAACAACTGAAGCCTATGGCAGCGTGTGCAGTGCACAGAAAACACGGACAGAAGGTTTTCTCCCTCTCATATTCCGGAAGTGAGTTCATCCACTGAGAGGGGAGTTGAGGCAGCTCTTCATCACAGCGCAGGACATTTATGGAATCTGCTTCCACCAAGCATGTGGTGGCCAGAGGCTTGCATGGGTTTTAAAAGCGTGCTGACAGAGGAGAGGTGGCCCAGTGGCCAGCGGCCAAGATCACTCGAAGGAACCTCTGGGTCCGGAGGCAGGCCGCCTCGAATAGCAGAGGCTGTGGACGGCCACAAGGGAAGACTGGCTTTTTCTGGCCCTCCTCCTGCGCTTCCCAGAAGCCTGTGCAGGAACCAGAACACAAGGGAGGCTTAAGGCCTGCTCTTGTCAGGCTTCATGGCCTCTCTCCATGGCAGCAGAGACCTGGCTAGATGCTGCTGCGTTCCAAACAGATGCCTGCTCTGTTGTTCCAGGGCAGAGGGGAGCAGCTTTTCAGCCCTACCCAGCTGGGACCACATGCAGCAGTGGAGGGAGGGTTAGCCTCCTAGACTGGAGGTGATAATGGCCGAAGCCACTGTTCCCCTGAATCACAGACCTGCAGGCACACTTCCCCCATCTCGGCTTGCAGTGGGGTTGCTTAGCACGCCCAATCCCCCTGCACTGAGCACAGGCCACACCTTCCCTCCCAAGAGCCAGCCTCTCCGTGGAAGCAGCGTCCAGTCTCCCAACAGCTCTTTGGCAGCAGCAAGATCATGCTGGAAAGGATGGCAGGTTGGGTCCAGGGTCACAATCACCGCTCTGGAAGCAAACCCCAAGTTCACACCTCGAGCCCAGGGAAATACGAGCAGCACCGTGAAGGCCAGGCCATTGCTGGTCCAGCCGCTTGCAACGCCAGTTCACAGCATCTCAGGTAGCCGGGCTGGGAAAAGAGCTTGGCTGACTTCTTCCCCCACTAAGCTAACCAAGATGTGGGGAAAGATGGAGAAGCTCGCTAGTCTCTCCAGGGTCTTGGAAGCCAGAACAAATAGGTGGCGTGGGACACCATCCTTCATGGAAAGAATATTTTGGAGGAGAGCCAGAAATGGAAAGGTTCCCAGCTCTGGCCTGCCACCCCTCCAGTCAAAAGGCAACCAGGCTACAGGGCTGAAGAAAGTCCTCTCTGCCCAAGGACATGGGGGCTGCTCCTAGCCAAGGGGCAAAACAGTGTCACTGCAGGAGCTGCTGTTCAGGCTGGGAGAGACTGCAGGCATCTCGACCAGCACAACTTTTAAAATTCTTCGCATTCTTTTAAAACCTTCCCACTCAGGGGAAAAACAAAACATTTGAGCTGCTCAGTAAAAGCCTCATGAAAAACTGGATCTGCTCTGGTTACATGGACTTGCAAAGGGGCTGTTAGCTGGCATTCCCATTCCTGTGGGAATCTAAAAAGCACCTCTACTTGGCCTGTCACCCGTTGCCCAGGCTGGGGCGGAACCTCCTCCACCATTACGCACGCACCACGCTGGGTGTCCATGCTTGTGCATCTTTTTAACCATGCATCTGTTTGGCTGTAATCTGTGCAAACAGCGCCAGGAACTTTGGCTACTGGGCACTAAACGTAATAACTGAAATGAAGGACAAACTGCTATGAGAGGGGGATACGCACACAAGCTTCTTCTCGGGCTAGAGAAGCTAGAGACAATACACATTTGCATGGTTCTCTTAATGCTGGACGTCTGGGTAGATGTGATAAGGATGTAAACGTGGGCCCAACAGGAAAATCCATGGGACAAATAACATACACTTCACAGCTACCATTTAGAAACAGAGAAACAGAGCGAGCCAGAAGGGGCCTCCCGGGCCATCTAGTCTGACCTCCGGCACCAGCCGGCTGCGCTCACGACATGCCCGCCATTTAAGCTTTACACAGTACTGTAAGAGCACAGCAAACACCACAAGCCTTCTAAGTTAGTGCACCCAGTGTTTTAATGTCACCTAGCATTAACAGAATCTGGGTGTATTTCGTTACCCCTGGAAAAAGCACCACAGGCCAGGAAAACGCTGCAGATGAAAGATTTCCATTCTACTGCATAAGAGGTTTCAATATGTATTAAGAATGGCTTTCAGCCTTCCAGAAGAACAGGTAATTGAAGATATAATCTGTCTTGAGGCTATACATAACAATAAACCTGCAAAACAATTTTATGGGTTTTTGATTTTGGTTGTTAATTATGCTGTTCTATTCAATTATTTATTCTATAAAAACGCAGAAACAGAGCAAGTCTGAAGGGGTCTCCTAGACCATCTAGTCTGACCCTGAGCTCCAGCTGGCTCAACTCATGACATGCCCACCATGGGCACATCCAGCCTGTCCTTAACTTATGTATTTGTTTTATCATCAGTTTTATAATTTGGTAGAAGGCTGAAATTTGAGGACTTTTTGACAAAGCAGATTTTGCCCACGGACTAGAAGGACTAGGTCTATTTGTAAGTCAACTACACAGCAGCATAGGAACCTGGGGCACCCCAGAGTCCCCAGGAAGTGGGGGAATGTTTAAGCGAATCTCTATTCTCCTTGCACCCTTTAGACACACATTTCTTCAGCCCAACAGCCGCATGCTTCAAATCTCTCCCTGCAGCCACAAAACTGGCCCAGCAACCCAAGCAGGACTTTAAAGTGCAATTAGTATGTCAAAAGCGACGGCATCTTCGCAAGCGTCGGAAGATGTTCTGAGGCTTCACCAGTTCTGCAGCGATACTGATGCAATGCTCTCAGCAACGGTTGCCAAGGGCACCAGTCTTTTAGCGCTTCATTCAGGGAGACAGATCCTCAAGCTGCAAGAGACTCCCACCAGCCAGGAGCCAGCAGTGAACAACCACAACAGAAGTTGCAACTCGGTGCCCAGGGCTCAAAGGTGGTTTCCCGATCCTGGCACAGGTCACCCCACACGGTTGGGAAGCTTCCGCCCAACATGCACCGAGATTGCTCAGCAAGTGACTGGATTCTCAAGATTACCTATGCAATGAACCGGGTTCTAGTACCTAACCAGATACTTTAAAAAAATCCTAGCCTGCGGGATCAAAAACGTGCCCACCTGTGTGAGATTTTGGCTGGTTCCTTAAAAGCTCGACAGTAACGTGGATATTGGAATTCATAACATCTGTGTGGGCAGATTTTAGTGCATGCGCCTTATTCTAAAAGTCGCACGTTATAGACTTCCAAATATGGACTTCTTACCTATGTATGTATGCAAAACTATGGCAGTTCTTCTAAGCCAGCCTGTCTTTAAGCAACTGCCAAATATCAGCAAGACCAGCTTAGCAAAGGCATCCCTGACACAGGAAAGGACTAACTGTCTGCAGAAGATACTGGTCTATCTGGAGAAAGAATCAGATCTGGTCCAAGGCAGCCTCCTAGGACTAGGTTGATTCGGGAGGGTGGAGGCCACCAAGGAGATGTTTCTACTGGTCTTTCCACCAACCACCCAAGGCACACATCACACTGAGTAAAACCTCTTCCCAGAAAATGGATTATTTCCTATGATGGCCATTCAGCTTATTTGGGGCTTAACCAAAAGTGTGGCAAGATGTGTGTGTGTGTGTGTGTGGGGGTAGATTTAGATAGAAAGCCTCCCAAGACAAGAATAGATAAATATGGCCAGATATTGGAAGAGGCCATCACCCGGGACAAAAAGGCTTTCTTCATAGGTGCATCAAAGCCCAGGTACTAACCCATCAGAGGATCTGTCACGTGTGTCCAGTCAATACAGCACTGAAGTTCCAGCTGGTAGTGAGACTGGACGTAGAGAAGAAGGTGCTGGTAAAACCCAATGCCGGCGACGAGGTGAGTTCGGTAGGCACACTCCAGCGTGCTATGGCTGTGAATGTGCTGTGATGGGAGTGGGTGGGGAAGGAAGGGGGGAAAACGTTAGCACGCACCCACAGAGGCCTCTTCGCTCCCTCCGCGCCCCACTTCTCCAAGAGCAGGAAAGGCCAGACCCATCCGCCGGCAAGCTTCTCTTTTCTGGGCACCACAGCACACTCCTCGGCATGCTGTACTGGCACGGATGCTTTCGCACTCTGAAGTGCATTCCACAGCAGGCCAGGACCAGGGGCAGCTCGGGACTTAAAGCTACTGCTGAGAGATCCAGCACCCACTTGCTGCTAGGACGGATGCCCGCCTGGGGAGGAAGGAAGAGTCAGCTGGAGGGCCCTTGTAAGGAGTCGCCTCCCTTCTCAGTCAATGGATGAGGACATGAGGCCGTTACTGCTGCTTTTTCCTGCCTCCCCAGAGTACAGAACACGGTGACCCCCACCTTCAGGGCTTTCCTGAACAATGTGCAGAAATGTTCTGCTGAACTGCAAGGAATACCTGTCTAGAGCGGAAGGTGCAAGCTCACCTGGTATTCACTCATGCACTCCCTATGGCGTTAAAAGCAACAGGCTAACACTCTACCACAGTGCCTGGACTGAAAGGAGCAGCAGCAGCATTATCTGACCGAAACGCTCAACTCTCTGGGTAGCACTACTTCAGCCTGCATGGGGAGGGCTTGCAAGACTGCAGGCTCCTTTGCGGGCGGGGGGGGAGAGTCTGCAAAGAGTTTTGCGTGTGAGGATGCAAGAAATTATGGCCACGGTTAATCCCAACACACAAAAATCACTCCTCTCTTCCTATGCTGCTTTTTGTATGCAGAAGCTTTGGCTCATCCAAGGCCCCAGATGCAGGTTTGCCCTTCAGGGAGAGCTGAGGCAAAGGCCACGTGTAATTCGGTGGTCTTCCACCAGCTGGCCAGGGGGGCGCATTCCTAGGCAAGACAGAACAGCAGAACCGCCACCAGGATGTTGGAGTGGGGGACTGAGAATGCATCCTGAAGACGGCTGCTGCAGCTGACCTGCTGGGAAGGTGAGCGCCAGGGAAGGTGGGTGGTGCTGCTGAGGCAGAAGAGGAGCCCGACCGCAAGGGGTGGGGAGAATGAGGTGGTCAGGAAGCAGAGCAGCAATGGAAGCCAGAAAGGAGGGGCCGGGAACCACAGGGAGGATGGTGGGAGGACAACCTGGCCATGGCTGGCGGACAGAAGGAGCTTTTAGGCTGTGTGCTTTCCCGCCCACCTCCCTGGCTTCCTTGCAGGTCCACAGGGCAGTGCTAACTCCATTAGCTCCAAGGAAAGCGCCAGGAGAGCATGGATGGGAGGGCCTCACCAACCACCCCAAGGCAGCATCTGTAGCCACCACCCTCTCTAGCTCTGTTTCGCACCTGAAGAGGAGAAGCAGCTATGCCACTTCTTGTCCTCCTCAGCACAACTTACGAAGAAAGGTTTGAAAGCCACATGCCTTTTTGTTCGTTTTAATGAGCTGGATGACTTCATAGTAAACTTTCCTCCACAGCAATTCCTCTGCTTTTCTCCCATAATCCACTGGGTGCAAGAACATCAGCTTTACACACAGTTCACGTAACCTGAAGTGGGAAAATTGATCGAGAAAAGGAAAGGGGGATTAGATTCTAGTTTAGCCACAATATCCACTGCCATGATGGGTCAGCACGACTTTGTGACTAAACAACAACAACAAAACAAACAATCCACAGCCAGAACAAGCAATATTTTGTGATCCGAAATTATCCGGGGTCAACGCACAACAGATCTTAAGATGCCTTTGAGGCAAACCAGCAACCCAAGAAAACACAGGGTAGAATCGCAATGGGACCACTTACCAGGAACTTTTGGAAACTGGAATTCTTGAAATGCACTCTGCCTGGATCCCACCCGCCACCCCACCCGCCCAGGGCCAGCCCAGAAGAAACCCAATAACCACCGTCCCACTCAAGCTCCCGATATGCCACAGAAGCAGTTCAGGTGATCCAAAAAGTAGTATTGTGGGCTAAACACTTCAAGTCTTATCTGCAAGGGCATTCTCAGACCATGCGGGGGGCGAGGGAACCGCTGTGCAGAATGGCCCCCTGGCCTGATAACGGCAAATGCATTTTACAAGGCAGGCATATTCTACCCTTACAAAGCACCGGTGACCACATTTACGTTCTCTTTCGCCTCTTTCCTGAAACTCGAGGTGGTCTCCTGCCATTTCCAACCGGTCCCCCTCCGAACCTGTCTACTTTCCACATGCGCTCGGCATCTTACGGTGCTCAGAGGGCAAGAACAAAAGAAAGCCCCGCTTGCTCACTTGTTTCGCAGGCTGATGTTCTCCGGTTTGAACACTTCTTGATAAGCCGGCTTATTTCCAAGAATGAGGTCCAGGCGATGCACGGCTTCTACCACTGCTCTACAAAACAAAACACGCAAGAAGCAGAGTTTCGAGAGCTGCGTGAGGACGCCACATTCCTCCTCCTCTCCCACCTCTGTTCCTTGAGACATGGTCGCCCAGCCAAGATTCAGAGGGGCCATCCTGTGGCTCCTTTCCCGAGACATCCACGGATGCCTAGAAAACAGACACATGCCCAGCTCGTTCCCGGGGGTCAGTGCGTGGACATTTATTCTCGACTGAGAAGCCGGCCCCCATTTTTAAAACCGTGCCAGCCGTTCGCGGCTTGCTGCACGCTTCCCCGGCAAGGCAGCTGCACGGAGGAAGGTACGTCCAGCAGCCCTAAACACTTCCTGGCAGCGCCTCATGCCAGCAGCCACTGAAAATGCAAATGAGGAGGGGCTCAGGCATGCTCGTGCCACCATAAATGTCCAAAGTCTTTTACTGTGTTACGAACTGCTTGCGTTTGCTGTAAGAGTGTAATATAGGTCACCTTTCTAGAAGTTACACCTGAAAGAATGTAAGACAACCTACTTATCTGACAAGCTGGTCTCCTTTGAAGAAGAGTAGAGCTCTGGTCCAAGCGCCGATTGCCAATTCATAACCAGAGAGTACTGTTCAGTTTCTGGAGGGCTTTGCTTCCCTGACATTATCTGCTTTCCTGGCTGGCCAGTGACAGTCTCAAAACCTCAAGTCCTTTTGAACTGAGGCCACACAATCACTCCAGCTTCTTTAGACCATGATGACCTGCAGCAGCTGCAGCTGCTTGCTGTAGTGTGCAAACCTGCCAAGCATGGGCTGCTTGTGGAGCTGACAAACCACCCACAACCCTGAAACAGCCCAGGGGTTCTGGATGGTCGCCTAACTGTACCGACAACCCGGCCACACCAGGTTTGCAGGCTGCAGCCATGAGCTGAATATCCCAAATAGCCACCTGGAACACTTGGATCCCAAGAATGACATCATCCCGAGGCTGCACAGGTCAGTGTGTGCTCATTAAGTGCCAGAGTACAGGACCTGAGAACACCCTGAGAACACATCGGGCCCTCTGTGACTTGGCAAATCTGAGCTGGGGAACAGCAAGGTAGAAAAAACACACGTGTGTCAACAAGGCTTTTGGCCTTCCAACAGCCCATCAGACGGGGGACACGGAGGCTGCGTGTCCGCTGAACCTCCAATGCCCAGATGACAGTGGGAAAGACAGTGAAAAGGAGATGGGGCCAGGGTGGCCTGGAAGAGGAAAACGAGCTGCAGGGGCAGGGATCTGCAGACACAAAGGAAAGCTGCAATGAATCCTCGGCTGCTCGGGGTCCAGGCTGCACATCCTCTCCTCTGCCACTTTCAGGCAGCCTAAAAGTGGCACAATTAAGATCCCACCAATCCAATGTTTCCAATATACGTGGAAGCAGGGCTACAGCGAGGGGTTAAAAGCTTGGCAATGGGCTTTCTGATACCTGCCAGGTTTGCTCACTGGCAAAAAGCAAGACAGATGCCAGAGTCTATTAAAAGACCCGACAGCAGCACTGCCTGCCAGGCTCCATGGATGCAATCCAGTGACGAGCATGGTGGAAGTCAGAACGAGGGCACTGCACCCGACTGGGCTTCATGGCTGGGTGTGCTGCACAGTGGCTCCAGTGCTGGCCCTCACCGGGGAGCCGGGCCTCCTGCGTGACCACAAAATCCCCACAGGATCTTTCCAAGGCTCCCCTCCCCTCCCCTCCCCTCCCCTCCAAGGCAACAGTGCGACCCAAGAGCTGGGGGTGGGGAGGTGCTGGACCCGTGTCACGAAAAGGGAAAAACCCGGGGAAAGCAGCAGCCTTGGGTCTGAAGGAGGGAGAGGGAAGACTGGAACTTCTTGCTCAGAGACCGAGAGCTTTCTCTGCCCCTGCTGCACAATACCGTCTGGGACCAGTCGCTCGCTGTCGCCATGACCCTCTCACTCAGTGGGGAACCGCACTGTCTGAAGCTCATGGAGCCTCCGCCACCCTCCGTAACAGGAATTGCTTCAGCAACCTGTGCCATCCAGGTGTTGGTGACCACAGTTCCCACGATCTCTACTGCTGCGGTGGCTGGGGCTCATGGGACTTGTGGTCTCAACCCCCAGAAGGGCTTTAGGCAGCATACTCTCATTTTAAAGGGCCGAGGAGCTCCTCCTCAGAGCTCCCCTAAAGGGCGCTCCTGCAGGGCTAGCATGACTGCAGGGAAACACTCGGCCTCTTGGTAAGTGAGTATGGGCTGCCTGGCCTTGCTTAAAAGGACAAGGGGAAGAAACAGACTAACGGGTAAGGATGGATTTCAAAAAATGGTGGGGCTGCACACTCGAAAAAACAAGCTAGAAGGGAAGACTCGCGTCATCTCTTGAACATGAGCAGAAGAGAACACTGAACCTGTGAGTTCAGAGGAGCTGCCCAATGCGGGGAGGGGGTTCCTCCTCCTCGAGCTCTAAAAAGCTGTGGAAAAGGAAAGAAGAGGTCCCTGAGCCCTAAATCTGGGAGCAAAGGGGCGGAAGAAAAAAAAAAGTAGGCCTAAATTAGCTTCAGGATGGTGCAAGCCACACAAGCCCAGAGGTGAGAAGAGGCCTGTGAAATTGGATGAGAACAAAGCAGGCCTGCCGACTGCGCCTGTAGCTCTAGGATGAGAGGAGGAGAAAAGGCACAAACCCGTGATTTTGGGAGCATCCTCAAGAAAGCTGGGCTGTAAGAGTGAACCGAGAAGGCAGCTCAGAAACTGGAAAAACTGCTGGACTCGTGGCAGGCAGTGCCCACTCTGTATCTATTTATTGCTTAGTGAACTCGAATCACACACTCTGACAACTTTTCCAGAGTAGCTAACAAAGTGTAACACCATAAAAGACAGATAAAAGAGGAAACACCAAGAAAGGAGGAACAAAGAGGTGGACCTCTGAGAATGGAAAGTGAACCCCGCTGAAACGAGAGAGTGCGTGTGCGTGTATGTGAGAAAAGATTTTTCTGCAATAGCAAAATAAAGAAAATCCTGTGATACGGGGGAGGAGGAAAAGGAGAAACAAATATGGTGTGAGAGAGCTTCCATCGATCTGAAGTTTTAGAAATCAAAAACAGGGAGGATAAAAACAGACTACTTAAAGACAAAATGATCTTTAGTAGGGGAAGGAAGGGCACATTGGCTGCAGGGCTCCACAGCTGGAAGGGAAATAATTAGAAGCCTTAAGGAGAACGTGCCCTATAATGCCCTATGAACTAGTGTAGTGCAGAACTGAGGGTAGCAGAGTCAGATAAGAGAACACACATTCAAATCCCCACAACCACGAAGTACTGCCAGTTGACCTTGGGCAACTTCTGCCTTCCCAGTCAGAGCTCCTTCACAGGAGTGTTGTAAAAATAAAATGGGGGACAGATAGATGGAGACGTTGGGCCAGTCCTTCACCTTTTCTGTCCTCACTGAATAACCTGCTTCACAGGCAAGCACTGAATGAGGGCCATCCAGTCATCCTTCTCCAGCCTAATCCGTCTCACAGGACTGTTACGAGGATGGAAAATGGAAGCGGGAAAAGACTCTGGGTAGTTAGTGGCTGTTCAGCTGAGCCCCCCTCACAGGGCTGCAGGGAGAACACAATGGGATGTGCGGGAAACATAAAAACGGCAATACCAGGCCGTGTTTCCGCCTAACCTGAACTCCCTAACAGGTCGGTTACAATGAGGACAGAACTAAGTGGCAAAGAAGGGGAAGTGAGCTGGGGAAAGAAAGGGAGACCATGCTTGCCACTCCATGGCCCCCACAGGACAGCACAGAATTGTTATAATTTCAGCATATATAGAAGAAACCAAGCAGAGGATAGAAAGGAGCAGGTCTCTGCACCTCCAGATGTGCTGGGCAGGCCAGCCACCTGTGGCCTTCCAGATGCTGCTGCCGACATGTGGCAGGAGGGAGCTGTCAGACAAGCCCTGGTCTCGTCGCCCACTCGCCGCATGGGCTAGCTCAAAAACGTGTCCAGGGCGGAAACCGTGAGGGGGGCGCCATACACTTTCGCAACTGCCCCGCCCGAGGTCCAGAGGGGGAAGCCTGCAGAGGGACGGACGGGCGGGGGGGGGGGGGGGGGGGCGCCGCCCCCGGGGGCCCCCCCCCCCCGCCCTGGCGGCCTCCAGATGTGCTGGGCTCCGCTCCCACGGGAACTCCCATCGGACACGCCTGGGGAAACGCACGGCCGGGGCGGGGGTGTCTGCGGGACATGGGGGCGCCGGTGTGCGGGCTACGCGTGCGGGGGGACTGGGCTACGGGCGAGGCGCCGAGAAACGTGGGGCGCGGGAGGCGAGGGCGAGCCGGGGGGCGGGAGGGACGTGGCCCGGGGGCCCTGCTCACCGGTAGAGCCTCTTGGTGTGGAGGGCCTTGGCCTCCGGCTCCCCGCCGCCGCCGCCGCTGCCCTGGCTCATGGCGCTGCCTTGGCGGCCCCGAGGCTCCTTCAGCACCCCCGGTCGCCGCTCCAGGCCCCGCAACGCCGCGCCGGTCGCCTCTGCTGCTGCTGCTGCTGCTGCTCGCCCCGCCGCGCCCCGCGCAGGCCCGCCGGCCGCCCGCGCTGCTGCTGCTGCTCGCCCCGCCGCCGCCGCTCCGCCCGCTGCTGCTGCCGCTGCCGCC